AATTACTATAAAGCACAAGTGAGTATTACAAAGACAGGTCATATGGTTGCATGCATTGTTGTAAATTCAGTAGAATGGAGTATTCTGTTAGGTAGTGTATTTAAAAAATAATAAAGTTAGATTGGGTTTTAGGTTTAACATTTATGTGATATAATTGTGAGAAACATTTAAGATATACAATTTATAAGGTTCAGTTATTCAGTATTTATTTGGTTTTGGGTGAGTAAGTGATCTTTGAGAAGAGACTTGAATTTATAAACAGGTAGTGTTTCTTTTATATTTACAGGTAATGAATTCCAGATTTTAGGGCCTTTTATGTGCATTGAGTTTTTTGCATAGCGTGAGATGGACACGAGGAATATCAAAGAGTGATCTGTGCCTTGTGTTATGGTCATGTGTTCTGTTGAGGTTGGCAAGGAGATGTTTGAGGGGAGGGTTAATATCAGAGTTGAGTGTTCTATGTATGTAATAGGTGCAGTAATAAGTATGGATGTTTTGTATGGTGAGTAGGTTGAGTGTATTGAATATTGGTGGAGTGTGTTGCCTGTAGTGAGAATTTGTTATCATTCTAACTGCAGCCTTTTGTTGGGTAATTAGTGGTCTGAGATGGTTACTTGTTGTTGAGCCCCATGCACAAATTCCATAGGTGAGATAGGGGTAAATAAGAGTAGCGAGAATGTAGCCAATGAGAGGTCAGGTCCCTCTCAGATCCAACAGTTCTCACTTGAAAGGGTTGTCTAAGGCGTTTTCTGTACCAAGAGGCCATGTGTTGCAGTGTCTGACAAGATGAACATCGAAATGGTATACAATACCGACAGGTTGGTAGGTAAGACACATAGGCAACAGTTAGGCAACTTTATTCCGAAATGTTTTGCCTACACAGTAGGCTTCTTCAGTCGAATACAGAAAGTAGGCAGGAATAGTAGAGATGTGAAGACGATGTAATCAGTCCATCACTCTTGAAGTCGTAGAATTTGAGGTTGTCAGTCCCTCGGCCTGGAGAAGTTCAGTTCCATAGTCAGGAACTATCTGAAGATCAAGCGACAGTGCGAGACTTAAATACTGTCGGAAGGAGAGGTGCAGAGTAGTAGTAGTAGTGAGAATGTAGCCACTGAGAGGTCAGGTCCCTCTCAGATCCAACAGTGATGGACTGATTACATCGTCTTCACATCTCTACTATTCCTGCCTACTTTCTGTATTCGACTGAAGAAGCCTACTGTGTAGGCGAAACGTTTCGGAATAAAGTTGCCTAACTGTTGCCTATGTGTCTTACCTACCAATCTGTCGGTATTGTATACCATTTCGATGTTCATTACAGAGGTACATAACAGATCCAGGGACTGTACCTCAATATTACAGAGGTACATAACAGATCCAGGGACTGTACCTCAATATTACAAAGGTACATAATGGGTCCAGGGACTGTACCTCAACATTACAGAGGTACAAAATGGGCCCAGGAACTGTACCTCAACATTACAGAGGTACATAATGGATCCAGGAAGTGTACATCAGCATTACAGAGGTACATAATGGATCCAGGAACTGTACATCAGCATTACAGAGGTACATAATGGGTCCAGCAACTGTACCTCAATATTGCAGAGGTACATGATGGGTCCAGGGACTGTACCACAACATTACAGAGGTACATAATTGGCCCAGGAACTGTACATCAAAATTATAGAGGTACATAATGGATCCAGGAACTGTACATCAACATTGCAGAGGTATATAATGGGTCCAGGAACTGTACCACAACATTACAGAGGTACATAATGGATCCAGGAACTGTACCTCAACTTTGCAGAGGTAAATAATGGGTCCAAGAGCTGTACCTCAACATTACAGAGGTACATAATGGGTCCCAGAACTGTACCTCAATATTACAGAGGTACATAATTGGTCCAGCAACTGTACCACAACATTACAGAGGTACATAATGGGTCCAGGAACTGTACCACAACATTACAGAGGTACACAATGGGTCCAGGGACTGTACCACAACATTACAGAGGTACATAATAGGTCCAGGAACTGTACCACAACATTACAGAGGTACATAATGGGTCCAGGGACTGTACCACAACATTACAGAGGTACATAATGGGTCCAGGAACTGTACCACAACATTACAGAGGTACATAATGGGTCCAGGGACTGTACCTCAATATTACAGAGGTACATAATGGGTCCAGGGACTGTACCACAACATTACAGAGGTACATAATGGGTCCAGGAACTGTACCACAACATTACAGAGGTACATAATGGGTCCAGGAACTGTACCACAACATTACAGAGGTACATAATCGGTCAAGGGACTGCACTGCAACATTACAGAGGTACATAATGGGTCCAGGAACTGTACCACAACATTACAGAGGTACATAATGGGTCCAGGGACTGTACCACAACATTACAGAGGTACATAATGGGTCCAGGGACTGTACCACAACATTACCGAGGTACATAATGGGTCCAGGAACTGTGCCACAACATTACAGAGGTACATAATGGGTCCAGGAACTGTACCACAACATTACAGAGGTACATAATGGGTCAAGGGACTTTACCACAACATTACAGAGGTACATAATGGGTCCAGGAACTGTACCACAACATTAGAGGTACATAATGGGCCCAGGAACTGTACCACAACATTACAGAGGTACATAATGGGTCCAGGAACTGTACCACAACATTACAGAGGTACATAATGGGTCCAGGGACTGTACCACAACATAACAGAGGTACATAATGGGTCCAGGAACTGTACCACAACATTACAGAGGTACATAATGGGTCCAGGGACTGTACCACAACATTACAGACGTACATAATGGGTCCAGGGACTGTACCACAACATTACAGAGGTACATAATGCGTCCAGACACTGTACCACAACATTACAGAGGTACATAATGGGTCCAGGGACTGCACCACAACATTACAGAGGTACATAATGGGTCCAGGGACTGTACCACAACATTATAGAGGTACATAATGGGTCCAGGGACTGTACCACAACATTACAGAGGTACATAATGGGTCCAGAAACTGTACCACATTACAGAAGTACATAATGGGTCCAGGGACTGTACCACAACATTACAGAGGTACATAATGGGTCCAGGGACTGTACCACAACATTACAGAGGTACATAATGGGTTCAGGAACTGTACCACAACATTACAGAGGTACATAATGGGTCCAGGAACTGTACCACAACATTACAGAGGTACATAATGGGTCCAGGAACTGTACCACAACATTACAGAGGTACATAATGGGTCCAGGAACTGTACCACAACATTACAGAGGTACATAATGGGTCCAGGGACTGTACCACAACATTACAGAGGTACATAATGGGTCCAGGAACTGTACCACAACATTACAGAGGTACATAATGGGTCCAGGAACTGTACCACAACATTACAGAGGTACATAATGGGTCCAGGAACTGTACCACAACATTACATTATTATTATAATCAAAAAGAAGCGCTAAGCCAACCACAACATTACAGAGGTACATAATGGGTGCAGGGACTGTACCACAACATTACAGAGGTACATAATGGGTCCAGGAACTGTACCACAACATTACATAGGTACATAATGGGTCCAGGGACTGTACCACAAAGTTAACTAAACAAGTTACACTGGTAATGAACTATTAACCTTGTAAACAAAGTTAATAAATCACTTTGGGTTATCCTAGCTAATTTACACTATGTATAATATTATAATAAAATAAAGCGCTAAACCGACATGTAGACACTATGTATAATAATTGTACTTATTTATACCTGTGCCTAAATAAACTTACCCTTATTTAAAGTGGACAGTCAGAGTATTTTTCCAGAAACAACTTTGAGTAGCTTCTGTCTCACATGATAAAACTGATCAATTGGTCAAGTCATATATATATATACCTGACAATCTTGGGTTGTTAGTTAGCAGTGTTAGAACAATAATATTAAATGAACTTTTCAAGTGAACTTCACTGACTTGTGACTGAGGGAAGATTGACCTCAGTCACTTCATCAGTCATTATTAAGGTCCTCAGTGGTAATAAGTTACTGGGTTATAATAGGTAATCTACACATGCTGCTATGTAATGATAATTTATGTAACTGTATTTATGTGTACCTGTACCTTAACTTAACATTCTTATTTAAACTGTACCACTTAATTATATTCTCTCTAACTGTTAACCCCATTATTAAAGCTAATTTAATTCATTACTTAAAGCTACGACATTTAACCCCTTTATTTATTAACTGAATAATTAAAGCTACTTATTATTGTTATTTAAAGCGAGATATTTAATATGTGAATTTAAATTGTTCTTTAAACTGTTGCTGACTCATGTTCTTGTGTTATGTAGTGTTATTGTGTTATATGGAACACAGAACAACTGGGAGAGGAATAAAAGATAAGTAGGCTTACCAAGAGAGGCATAATAATAATAATAATAATATAATAATAATAATAATAATAATAATAATAATAATAATAATAATAATAATAATAATAATAATAATATCTTTATTTCTACAAGTAAATGTACAACGTATACAGACCATGGCTGACATTAATGATATACTACTATATAGAAAGCCCCTTGTTATGCACAGCATTTCCCGCAAATTAGGTCAGGTTTGTCCCCAATATTCCGACCCACACCAGTCCACTAACACCCAGGAAACACGTCCTAATGTTTCCACCCGTACCGGGGATCTAACCCCGGACCTCAGTGTGTGAGATGAGTGCGTTACTAATCCAGCTACGGGACACCTTATAAGAGGTAGGTAGGCCTACCAAGAGAAGTATAACAGGTAGGTAGATATACTGAGAGGAATAAGTAGGTAGGCCTGCCAGGAAAGGCACTGTATAACTTAGGTAGGCCCACCAAGTGAGGTATAAAACGTAGGTAGGACTACAGCGAGAGGCATAAGACATAGACCTGAAGTAAAAGCAGGCAGGCCTACCAGTGGTGGTAGGCTGTTGGTGGTGATAACCCTGGACACCATGCAGGTCGTCCTGCATCTCCTGGTCTTGCCAGAAGAACAGACACGACCCTCTTTCCGCCTCATCCAGGAACCTGAAGCACAAACAATTAAATGTATTATTGCTGCTGCACGATGCTAGGAAGGTAACCCCTTACTGTCTAACCTCAGTCCCCTACGGATGCTGCACGATCCAAGAAAGGTATCCCCTTACTGTCTAACCTCAGTCCCCTACGGATGCTGCCCGATCCAAGAAAGGTATCCCCTTACTGTCTAACCTCAGTCCCCTACGGATGCTGCACGATCCAAGAAAGGTATCCCTTTACTGTCTAGCCTCAGCCCCCTGTGGATGCTGCACAATGCTAGAAAGGTATCCCCATATTGTCTAACCTCAGTTCCCCGCGGATGCTGCACGATCCTAGAAAGGTATACCCATATTGTCTAACCTCAGTCCCCTGCGGATGCTGCACGATGCTAGAAAGGTATCCCCATATTGTCTAACCTCAGTCCCCTGCGGATGCTGCATGATGCTAGAAAGGTATCCCCATATTGTCTAACCTCAGTCCAATGGGGATGCTGCATGATGCTAGAAAGGTATTCCCATATTGTCTAACCTCAGTCCCCTACGGATGCTGCACGATCCAAGAAAGGTATCCCTTTACTGTCTAGCCTCAGCCCCCTGTGGATGCTGCACAATGCTAGAAAGGTATCCCCATATTGTCTAACCTCAGTTCCCCGCGGATGCTGCACGATCCTAGAAAGGTATACCCATATTGTCTAACCTCAGTCCCCTGCGGATGCTGCACGATGCTAGAAAGGTATCCCCATATTGTCTAACCTCAGTCCCCTGCGGATGCTGCATGATGCTAGAAAGGTATCCCCATATTGTCTAACCTCAGTCCAATGGGGATGCTGCATGATGCTAGAAAGGTATCCCCATATTGTCTAACCTCAGTCCCCTGTGGATGCTACATGATGCTAGAAAGGTATTCCCATATTGTCTAACCTCGGTCCCCTGCGGATGCTGCACGATCCAAGAAAGGTATCCCTTTACTGTCTAGCCTCAGCCCCCTGCGGATGCTGCACGATGCTAGAAAGGTATTACCTGGAGTTTACCTGGAGAGAGTTCCGGGGGTCAACGCCCCCGCGGCCCGGTCCCCATAGTATCCAACCTCAGTCCCCTGCGGATGCTGCACAATGCTAGAAAGATATCCCCATATTGTCTAACCTCAGTTCCCTGCGGATGCTGCACGATCCTAGAAAGGTATACTCATATTGTCTAACCTCAGTCCCCTGCGGATACTGCACGGTGCTAGAAAGGTATCCCCATATTGTCTAACCTCAGTCCCCTGCAGATGCTGCATGATGCTAGAAAGGTATTCCCATATTGTCTAACCTCAGTCCCCTGCGGATGCTGCACGATGCTAGAAAGGTATCCCCATATTGTCTAACCTCAATTCCCTGCGGATGCTGCACGATGCTAGAAAGGTATCCTCATATTGGCTAACCTCAGTCCTCTGCAGGTACTGCACGATGGTAGAAAGGTATCCTCATATTGTCTAATCTCAGTCCTCTGCAGATGCTGCACGATGCTTGAAAGGTATCCCCATATTGTCTAACTTCAGTCCCCAGTACCACTACGTGACTGGACAAGTGCAAAGTGCGGCATAGACTTCTAATGAAGTTAAATATCCGCACTGAATATCTAAGTATCATTTCTACATGAATTATAAAGCGTCACCCATTTCTGCATAAACAATGTATCACATGGAAATAAACTTTTGAATTCTGAATTCACAATTCATAACATTGAAATTAACTTCGCACTTCCTTCAATTAAAATGACAAATAAGGACATGCATAAGCCAAATCTAATTCAAACCATCCCGTAAGAGACATTAGAAAGTTTATTCAGGTACAGGTACACATAAATACAGTTACATACATTATCATACATATCAGCATATGTGTAGATTATCTTAATTTACTAAGGATAACCTAAAAAAGTCAAAGTGACTTATTTCCATCGTGGTCCTTGTAACATACACGCCAGAAACAAGAACAGTGAGGTAAGATTTTGTTGGGATTTTCAACCCTGGAGGGTTAACCATCCAAGACAGTCTATACATCATCGAGGACTGTTTGTCTTATTTCCATTGGGGTCCTTCAGTTTTCTTCCCCAGGATGTGACCCACAATAGTCGACTAACACCCAGGTACCTACTTGCTTGCTAGGTGAACGGGGTCAGCAGGTACACGGAAACACCCCCAGTGTTTCCACCCGGACGGTGGCTACATTAAAAATAAAAAAAAAGGTGGAAATAAGTTTAAAAATCCCAATGGAAATAAATAACTCTGACTTTTTTTTTGAGGGGGGGAGTTATCCTAAGTAATTTACACTATGTATGATAATTGTACTTATGCTCAACAATAACCTACATGGAGATAGAAACTCAGGAGATTAATTGATCCGTATATTTCGACCCCCTTCTGGGATCCTCTTCAGCAGATCTGCTGAAGAGGATCGAAATATACAGATCAATTAATCTCCTGAGTTACTATCTCCATGTGGGATATTATTGAGCACTGACAAGTGTTCATTACATTTTAGTTATTCATTGTACTAATGTGTACTTGTGCCTAAATAAACTTACTTCAGCACAGTGAAGATGAACAGTGTGGCTACAAAGCAAGTGGATGACACCCACCTGTCGAGGAGTGCAGGTGGGTGAGGGTGGTGTGGGTGGTGAGGCCACACTAGAGTGGGTGTGGTGAAGGTGTGGTTGGTGTGACCCAGTAGTACACACACCCTCCTGCTCACCCACCTCACCCGAGACTCATCCTCCTCCTCTTCCTCTTTCTCTTCTTCCTCCTGGACCAATTCTTCATCACTGACTCTTTCTGTCATCTTGGGTTAGTGTGTCTATTTCAAGGTTAATAATAAATAATAATAATAATAATAATAATAATAATAATAATAATAATAATAATAATAATAATAATAATAATAATAGCCTCTCACAACCACAAAATTCAGGGTTTGAGTCCTGGACTTGCCAGCAGAAAAAATATAGTGACCTGTGATTCCCAAGAGAGAGAAAAAAAAGTTATTGTGTTTTCTTCACGAAATTTAGTGGTAATCTTTTTTACATTAATTCTGAGGACGCGTAGATATTACTTAGCAGAACAATCGCAAGCTTGTACTCTATGCTAAACCTGTATGAGTTATTTATCTCTAGGAAAGGTGGAGGCTTGATCCTCCGTCTTAACTTGGTCTCGGACCAGAGATTACTGGGCATCATTGGCAAATCTCAAGACTAACCAGGATATAAGTTACTCCGACTTTTTTGCGGGGTTATCCTGAGCAATTTACACTATATATGATAATGGTGCTTGTTGCTTATGTGTACCTGTGCCTAAATAAATTTACTTCTCCCGTTGGCTTTACATGTACATATGTAAACTCTGATTCATGCTTTACCTGGCTACTGTAGCGACTACTGATAGTATTAAAGTATAGTATTGTAATTTACTGATGTAACTAGCTAAAACTGCCGAGTGTCACTCTGAGAACACACACTGAGGCGTTGCTACAGACGCCATTGTCATAGTTACTGTTGTTATGGATGTTGTCAAACGCCGTTGTCATGGTTACCGTTGCCACGGATGTAGGTAGACGTCGTTACCATGGTTACTGTTGCTATGGATGTTGATACAAACGTTATCATGGTTACCATTGCTATGGATGTTGTTACACGTCGTTACCATGGTTACTGTTGTTATGGATGTTGATACAGACGCCGTTGTCATGGTTACTGCTGTTATGGGTGATGTGGATGTCATTATCATGATAAATAAATTAGTTTATTCAGGTACACCCCTCAAGGGAGGTTCCTTGACGCTGGTGAGGGGCTCTTGATCTAGGGAATTGGATCTGTGCTCCAGTTCCCTGCATTGAGCCTAAATACCTTCCATTCCCCCCCCCACAGGGGCTGTATAATTCCTACGGGTTTAGCACTCAATGATTATAATTATAAAAATAATATTCAGGTATAGGTACACATAAACATAGTTACATAAGTTAGGTTAAATTTAGTAATGTTTATCAGGAAACAGGACAAGTATTTCTTGCCGCAGGTCTTAGTCATATGATGACCTGCAGCTGGAGCTTTTGGTCATCTGACCAAGGCCTTCTGCTGACTTACCCCTCCACCCCTTTAAATTATTATTATTATAATCAAGGGGGAAACACTAAACCCGGAGGATTATACAGAGCCTGGGGGGGGGGATGTGGAAGGCATTCAGGCTTAATTCGGGGAACTGGAGCACAGATCCAATTCCCTAAATCAAGAGCCCCTCACCAACATCAAGGAACCTTCCTTGAGGGGCCACCCCTTTAAAAAACATGGTTATGAGTATAACCATTATAAATTTACATAAATTATCATACATACCAGCATATGTGTAATTACCCAGGATAACCCAAATAAGTCAGAAAAAAGTGACTTATTTCCATTGGGGTCATTGGTCACTGTTGTTCTGGAAGTCATTAGTAGACACTGTCATCATGGTCACAGTGATGCCTTTTTCCAATCATTGAGGTAGAGAGTCTGGGCTTGTAGGATACAGGGATACCTTTCTCTGATCATTGTATTAGAGGAGTCTTGGCTTGCAGAATGCAAGGATACCTTTCTTGGATCTAACAACAACCAAAATACACCTACAGGTAGTTCCTATTATATTTAGAACAAGGCTAATGTCATGATAAAATTACTGCTTCAGGATTCTTCTCCTGTAACATTATCTTGAGCAACCAACAGCAGCACATGGTTCCCATGGTAATATCGATTTCCGGAGTTTTTGAACAAATACCTCAGATTCACTTTATTTTATTTAACCATTAATGTTAATAAATTATATGATACTGAAATAATCATTTATTGTTAAATTTATTCATTTATACAAATTGCTATATACAGATAAATTATATAAAAAATTATATACTGTAGTCATATATAATTTATAATTATTGTACATATAATATTAAATACAATTTTTTAAAAAACTTAAATAATACAGAAGTAAATCCAGTACAGTACCAACCTTTGTCTTTAGCTTGTATGACTTTAAATAGCATCACAACTAGAAAATTTATGTGGTAATATGTTGGGTATTCACTAAATGATTGTTGTAACATGAATGAAAAAAAAATTATTTTTAGATTCTCTTCTCACTGAAATCACTACATTACCTACTTCATTATCTATTACACATACTCAGCCTTTACAGTGCAAACAAAGGATTTCAGTTTCCTTTTCATTAATTTTGCTTTTAACTATAGGTAAATATATTTACTCTAATTTTTTTGTTCTCCCTCTCCTTGCTTCCATTCTTCGACAACATATCTCCCATACACATTCTTCAACATTCATTTCTTTTTCCAATTTGCTTCCTTTTGCAGTTGTCCCTCTTATAGCCCATATTTTTTTCTCACTAAACATTCAGTTTGCTTGGTGTGTGTTGAGTATATAAGGGAAGTTGGTAAGTACTCACCTATATAGGGCTGCAAGGGTCAAATCTTAGTTCCTGGCCTCCACCTCAACTTGCCACTTGCCAGATTCACTCTCTCTAGCTTTGTGGGTCCTATCACACCTATCCTTAAAACTATGTATGGAGTCTGCCTCCACCACTTCTTCATCGAAGTTATTCCGCTTCCCAATCACTCAAAGAATGAAGAAATAAATACTTCCCGACATCCCTATGACTCATTTGTCTTAAATTCCATCTGTGTCCTAGAGTACCCACCTCTCAAACAGCCTGTCACTATCTGTCCTATGAGTATTTTGTATACTGTTATCATATCTCCTCTGGTCCTTCTATACTCTAGGGTCATTAGATTAAATTCAATCCCGGCCGGGGTATGGTTTGTTTGCAATCGTGTCATTACGATTTCGTGAGTCATTAAATTCCTTTACCCTTTCCTAGTAACTCTTACACCCTTAGCTCTAAAACTAGTCCAGTTGCAAACTTCTGTACTTTCTTAACATGCTTCCTCAGGTGCTGCTGCCATACTGGTGTTGCATACCTCAAGATGGGCCTTACACATGTTGGACAGAGCACCTGGAAATACTCTTTATTCAGATTCTTAAAGGCCACTCTCAGATTTGTCAGGCAAGCACTGGCTACAGAGGTTATTCGGCTGATGTGAGCCTCTGGTGCTATAGTAGGCACTATGCTTACTTCTAGGTCCTTCTCTATGAATGAGGTCTTCCAGCCCCTCCCCAATCTTCATAGCCTTGTATTTACTGGGGTTGAATTCAAGCAACCATCTGACCAACCCTGCAGTTTGTCCAGATCTTTTCACAGCCTCTCCACATCCACATGTTACTATTTTCCTCATTAGTTATAAATCAGCAGCAAATAGATAAACCTGACTTAGTTCCATCTAGTATGTTATTCACATAAACTAGAAACAGCACTGGTCCTAATGCCAATCCTAGTGGTACACCACCTGTTACTTTTCCCCATTCTGATATTATTTCCTGGACAGTCACTCTGCTTCCTATTCCTAAGGTACTCCTTGATCCACAGGAGAACATTCCCAGTTAGTCTGGCCTGTTTCTCAGGTCTGTATGACCTGATAAAAGCTCACCTTTGAGCAGAACATTATCTAATAAGCCTTAGTTTGTCAACAAGTATCTTTTTATCACCCTATTTCAGAATAAATACATGTATATGGAACATTAGCTAAATTATATGTCAACTTGGATGTTATACAAGTAAATCAATCACCACTCGTTTCCAATAAGAAAGAAGACTGTGTAAAGAAACTGAAGCTTGCCTTCATAAACATGCCCAAGTGGAAAAGTAGAAAGAAAATGATAGATTTAGTGAATAGTGTAAAAGAAAAAAAAAAAGGCCCAGAACCAAATCATAGTCAGAGAAAGGATTTATACAGTGCCTGGGAAGTGCAGAGTAAACAGGTTCAGTCCAAGGAAGGGGATGGTAGCTCCAATTCAAAGCACACCACTGAATGAAAACAGAAAGAAGTGTGAAGACTGTAACAATGTTTACCACCATCAGTGCTACTGTGTCTTCATACAAAGAGCACAACTTCTTTTATATCTTCAGCAGTATAGTAGCACTGTCATGGGTGATCCAAGATATAGTACTTAATTTATTATCAACAAATATTACAATTCTACATACTCCTATGGCCATTTCCTTTATTGCTCATACATGACATTCAAGTTTTTATTTTGTTAATAATTTCTGTTACAGTTCTGTACCATTTTATTTTTTTAATTCAATGGCTGTGTCCTGCCAAGGCAGGATGACCCAAAGAAGACAACAGTCATCAACATTCACTCATACATCTTCTTAATTACAATTACCAGGAAGTTTAGCTTACTGGTCTGCAAAACATAAGATATACCAGATAAAGATGCAAGTTCTATAAGTGTTATGTGTTTTACCTGTATAAATTCCTGTTTGATGACCTTCATGCTCATTTTACTATTCAGTGTTTAAAACACAAAGATTCAATTGAAAATGAAACATTAATTCAGATACACAACCAAGGGTCTCAGACAACTTCCCTTCTTACAACCTGGTTACATAAAAACTTAAAGAGTAGCAGCACTGTCACTCATATTTTTCAGTATTTCAAAACCTTAATTTCTTAATTTTAAATCAGTGTTTAAAGTTCTTTCTTGATTATACTCAATCCTTAATCTATATCTCCTATACTTATGTTTGGTTCCCACTTGTACACCTCAGTCATATCTACAATTTAGGGCTCTGAATCTTTCTTCATATAAAAAATTTCTTGATACATACAGGTGATTAGTTTTGGCATCCTTTTCTGTATGTTTTCCAACACATTTATTTCCATCCTTTAATAAGGATAACAGAACAATCAAACTAGATCTAAGTAAAGGATAAGCTCAGTTTCTTAGAACAAGGGCTCCTCATAAGCATCAAGGCACCTTCCTTGATGAGAAATTCAGTTGTAGTATAACCCTAAGACTTGTTATTTATATTTTTGAACAGAAAGCCAAGCAGTCTATTGGTCTTATTACAGACACCCAGGCATTGATGTCTTGGCTAACTGTAGATTTCTGCTAACCACGACTCCCAGGAACTTAACATTCAGTGTTATCATACCATATATTATTCAGCCTATAAGTCAGAGTTATTTTCATTCCTAAGGATTAGGACTTTATAATTACTTAAACTGTAACCTCTCCTCAAGCACAAAATTTAAGTGTCAATGTAATAACAAGGATAGGTGTAAAGTTATAGATGAAAACCCAAAACACTCTCTGCCCTTCAAAACTTCGAACACAACCCACAATCACAATCTCACTTACTCTCTCAAGATTAAACACCTGGTCATAAATAAGTTTACAGTTTTATTCTTAAAAAAATTTATTACACTCACAATTCTTAACAAGATAACAAAAAGTTAACATTAATTTTTAGAGCATGCTTTTTAACAGATTTTTCTTACTATTTTAGCACGGTACTCAGTAATACAGTACACTGAAAAAACTAAAATCCTTGAAAATTTTAATTATTAATCCTTAAACTGTCCAAACGTAGATCTACGTTCACATGCATAGCGTTCCGAACATAAATCTACTTTTTTTTACATGCTTTCAAATGGAGAAAATAAAGGTTTGAGCGCTACGCACGTGAACGTAGATCTACATTTGAACAGTTTAAGGGTTTAAAGTAATTCCTGTGATATACAGCTAGAAGTTCCTAAATAATTTGGTTGAGAGTTTCTGTGCAGTTTCTATCAGCTGCTCTGTTGCTCTTTCTTTTTTTAAGAAAGTCCACATAAAACATGAAGGGCATCTGGAGATGGGTCCCGACCTCTGAAGCTGCGGAAAACTTTGCTGGGATGACAGCCTCCTCCCAATGATAGGAATGTGGAACGGAACCTAAAAGAACATAAAACAAATTAAATAAAAAATTACAGCATTTTTAAATATATGGAAAAGATGAGTAAAGTAACTGAGGCCACATAAATGTATAGTTATATTTTGTTATTAGAGGTTATTGAGTATTATTAAGGTTATTTATGGTATTTCAAATAAAATGCTGCCAACGTAACTGTGAAGGATAGTGAGTTATCAGTAATGCTCTATTTTAATATAACTTGCTGCTGTGAGAAATATACAGGCTTGTAAAGAATCTTCTTAGATGTACAATTACTGAGCACTTATTTTAAACACACTGAGCAACCATTCCAGACATGCAGGACTCAACAAACACCCACTTCACAACACTTACTGAGTACCCACTAGAGTTATTCACTCAGTTTCTAATTCAGACATACAGTACTTACCAAGTGCCTTCTACATACTGCTTACCAATCACCCACTTTCCACTCTTGTTGAGCACCCACTCCACACCACTTACCGAGCACCCATTTCAGAGACATTTTCAGCATCCTCTGTGAAAGCCTGAAAGGCATCAGCTCCTATCATGCGTGACCAGAGGTGAGAATAATATGCAGCAGCCCAAACATCCGTCATGATAGTTGTGTTAGAGCATAAATGTACATCATACTTGTCCAATGCAAATGGTCGGTAGGTTGACCACAAGTCTTGAATAATGTCCAGCCAGAAGTCCTTGCTGTAACAATGAAGAACTATAAGTATAATGGGAAAACAATATATAAGAAACAAAATTTTAGTAAGTAGTAGGTTGGTAGACAGCAACCACCCAGGGAGGTAATACCGTCCTGCTAAGTGACTGTGAAACAGAAACCTGTAACTGTTTTACATGATGGTAGGATTGCTGATGTCTTTTTTCTGTCTCATAAGCATGCTGGATAACAGGTATATCTTGCTACTTCTACTTACACTTAGGTCACACAACACAGGCATACACATGCATATATATACATACACACATCTAGGGTTTTTCTTCTTTTTCTTAATAACTCTTGTTCTTGTTTTTTTTCTCTCTCTATTGTCCATGGGGAAGTGGAAAAGAATCTTTCCCCCGTAAGCTATGCGTGTCATATGAGGCGACTAAAATGCCGGGATCAATGGGCTAGTAACCCCTTTTCCTGTACATATTTACTAAAAATGAGAAAAAGAAAAACTTTATAAAACTGGGATGCTTGAATGTGCGTGGATGCAGTGCAGATGATAAGAAAGAGGTGATTGCTGATGTTATGAATGAAAAGACGTTGTATGTCCTGGCCCTAAGCGAAACAAAGCTGAAGGGGGAAGGCGAGTTTCAGTGGGAAGAAATAAGTGGGATTAAGTCCGGAGTATCTGAGAGAGTTAGAGCTAAGGAAGGGGTAGCAATAATGTTGAAGGACCAGTTATGGAAGGAGAAGAGGGAATATAAATGTGTAAATTCAAAGATTATGTGGATTAAAATAAGGGTCGGATGTGAAAAGTGGGTCATAATAAGCGTGTATGCACCTGGAGAAGAGAGAAGTGTAGAGGAGAGAGAGAGATTTTGGGAGATGTTAAGCGAATGAATAGGAACCTTTGAACCAAGTGAGAGAGTAATTGGGGTAGGGGACCTAAATGCTAAAGTAGGAGAAACATTTAGAGAGGGTGTGGTAGGTAAGTTTGGGGTGCCAGGTGTAAATGATAATGGGAGCCCTTTAATTGAACTTTGTATAGAAAGGGGTTTAGTTATCGGTAATACGTATTTTAAGAAAAAGAGGATAAATAAGTATACAAGATATGATGTAGGACGTAGTGACAGTAGTTTGTTGGACTATGAATTGGTAGATAAAAGACTGTTGAGTAGACTTCAGGATGTACATGTTTATAGAGGGGCCACAGATATATCAGATCACTTTCTAGTTGTAACTACAGTGAGAGTAAAAGGTAGACGGGATACAGATACAAGGAAAATAGAAGCAGCAAGTAAGAGAGAGGTGAGAGTGTATAAACTAAAAGAGGAGGCAGTTAGGGTAAGATATAAACAACTATTGGAGGATAGATGGGCTAGTGAGAGTATAGGCAATGGTGTCAAAGATGTATGGGGTAGGTTTAAGAATGTAGTGTTAGAGTGTTCAGCAGAAGTTTGTGGTTACAAGAAAGTGGGTGCAGATTTTGTTTAAAATAAGGAAAAGTTTTGGAGTGAGATTAATAAGCTGAGGAAGCCTAGGGAATAAAAGGATTTGACAGTTAAAAATAGGAGAGGAGAGTTATTAAATGGAGAGTTAGAGGTATCAGGAAGATGGAGGGAATATTTTGAGGAATTGTTAAATGTTGATGAAGATAGGGAAGCTGTGATTTCTTGTATAGGGCAAGGAGGAATAACATCTTGTAGGAGTGAGGAAGAGCCAGCTGTGAGTGTGGGGGGAAGTTCGTGAGGCAGTGGGTAGAATGAAAAGGGGTAACGCAGCTGGGATTGATGGGATAAAGAAAGAAATGTTAAAAGCAGATGGGGATTTAGTTTTATAGTTTTGGAAGAGGGTAAGGTACCTAGGGATTGGCAGAGAGCATGCATAGTTCCTCTGTATAAAGGCAAAGGGGATAAAAGAGAGTGCAAAAATTATAGGGGAATAAGTCTGTTGAGTTCTCCATGGGGAAGTGAAACAGAATCCTTCCTCCATAAGCCATGCATAAGAGGCGACTAAAATGCCGGGAGCAAGGGGTTAGTAACCCCTTCTCCTGTATATATTACTAAATGTGCTGTTGGAGTGTGAGCAAAGTAACATTTATGAAGGGGTTCAGGGAAACCGGCAGGCCGGACTTGAGTCCTGGAGATGGGAAGTACAGTGCCTGCACTCTGAAGGAGGGGTGTTAATGTTGCAGTTTAAAAACTGTAGTGTAAAGCACCCTTCTGGCAAGACAGTGATGGAGTGAATGATGGTGAAAGTTTTTCTTTTTCGGGCCACCCTGCCTTGGTGGGAATCGGCCAGTGTGATAATAAATAAAATAAAAAAAAAAGGAAAAACTTTCGTTTTTCCTTTTGGGCCACCCCGCCTTGGTGGGATACAGCCAGTGTGTTGAAAGAAAGAAAGAAAGAAGTCTGTTGAGTATACCTGGTAAAGTGTTACTATTGAAAGAATTAAGAGTAAGACAGAGAGTAGGATAGCAGATGAACAAGGAGGCTTTAGGAAAGGTAGGGGGTGTCTAGACCAAGGGTTTACAGTGAAACATATAGGTGAACAGTATTTAGATAAGGGTAAAGAGGTTTTTGTGGCATTTATTTATTTGGAAAAGGCATATGACAGGGTGGATAGGGGGGCAATGTGGCAGATATTGCAGGTGTATGGTATAGGAGGTAGGTTACTGAAAGCAGTGAAGAGTTTTTATGAGGATAGTGAGGCTCAAGTTAGAGTATGTAGGAGAGAGGGAGATTATTTCCCAGTAAAAGTAGGCCTTAGACAAGGATGTGTGATGTCACTGTGGTTGTTCAATATATTTATAGATGGGGTTGTAAGAGAAGTGAATGCGAGGTCATGGCAAGAGGTGTGGAGTTAAAAGATAAAGAATTAAATACAAAGTGGGAGTTGTCACAGTTGCTCTTTGCTGATGATACTGTGCTTTTGGGAGATTCTGAAGAGAAGTTGCAGAGGTTGGTGGATGAATTTGGTAGGGTATGTAAAAGAAGAAAATTAAAAGTGAATACAGTGGAACCTCAAATATCGAACTTTCTTCGGTCCAGAAGTCTGTTCAAGTGCCTTTACCGAATGAATTTATTCCCATCAGGAATAATGTAAATTAGATTAGTCCATTTCAGACCCTTAAAAATACACTTATAAAAGCACTTACAAAAATACACTTACATAATTGGTTGTGTTGGGAGCAGTTCGATTTTTGAGGTTCCACTGTATAGGAAAGAGTAAGGTGATGAGGATAACAAAAAGATTAGATCACGAAAGATTGGATATCAGATTGGAGGGAGAGAGTATGGAGGAGGTGAATGTATTCAGAAATTTAGGAGTGGACGTGTCAGCAGATGGGTCTATGAAGGATGAGGTGAATCAGAATTGATGAGGGGAAAAGGGTGAGTGGTGCACTTAGGAGTCTGTGGAGACAAAGAGCTTTGTCCATGAAAGCAAAGAGGGGAATGTATGAGAGTATAGTTGTACCAACACTCTTGTATGGGTGTGAAGCATGGATGATGAATGTTTCAATGAGGAGGAGGCTGGAGGCAGTGGAGATGTCATGTCTGAGGGCAATGTGTGGTGTGAATATAATGTAGAGAATTTGTAGTTTGGAAATTAGGAGGTGTGCGATTACCAAAACTATTATCCAGAGGGCTGAGAAGGGACTGTTGAGGTGGTTCGGACATGTAGAGAGAATGGAACAAAACAGAATGACTTCAAGAATGTGTAAATCTGTAGTGGAGGGAAGGCAGGGTATGGGTCAGCCTAGGAAGGGTTGGAGGGAGGGGTAAAGGAGGTTTTGTTTGTGAGGGGCTTGGACTTCCAGCAAGCATGCATGAGCATATTTGATAGAAGTGAATGGAGACAAATGGTTTTTAATACTTGACATGCTGTTGGAGTGTGAGCAAAGTACCATTTATGAAGGGATTCAGGGAAACCAGCAGGCCGGACTTGAGCCCTGGAGATGGGAAGTACAGTGTCTACACTCTGAAGGAGGGGTGTTAATGTTGCAGTTTTATAACTGTAATGTAAAGCACCCCTCTGGCAAGACAGTGATGGAGTGAATGATGATAAAAGTTTTTCTTTTTTGGGCCACCCTGCCTTGGTGGGAATCAGCCGATGTGTTAATAAAAAAAAAATTAGTTCCCGTTAAAGGATAAATGTAAATTAGCTGGTTGTGATATGAGTTCTTAACACTATACCTTCTTAAATAAAAACACAAAGAAAGATAAGTAAGACATTCTCTTCCAATGTTCAAACACTGGTGTAAAAACCTCAACTATGATGATTGGCAACAATAACATTTGGGAAACAACAGGTGCCACTTTGTTTTGTCATTACCTTCATCACTTGAAATTACATCTAATCAGAGTTTAGGCACAATAGGATTATGCTCTTCACAAGATAGAACTTTGCAAATATCCTCCAATGCAAGTAAGAACTACGCAGTTAGTTTCACTTGATTTCAAACTTACTCCACTGGGAGGATGTTTTGCTGTGTTGAATGCTTGACCGAATCAATATTTGGCCACCAGAATCTAGGGGTACTTAACCCAAAAGGGTCATTCAGCACTGGAGTATGCAAGGTAATCAAGTTTGATGCAAGGAGGGCAGCTTAAATTTCTTGAATCAAGAACCCTTCATTAGCATGAAGGTAAATGTCTTGAATAGATCAGCTGACAATGCAAAGTTACCTCGTCACCCAATTATATATGTACTGCATAACATGTATTTACCTTACACCTAAAGAGGTTTTGTGTGCAAGGGGCTTGGACATACAGCAGGCATGTGTGAGCATATTAGATAGGAGTGAATGGACATGAATGGGTTTGGGATTTGACAAGCTATTGGAGTGTGAGCAAGGTAATATTTTGAGAAGGGATTCAGGGAAACCGGTTAGCTGGACTTGAGTCCTGGTGGTGGGAAGTACAATGCCTGCACTTTACAGGAGGGGTTTGGGATATTTGCTGTTTGGAGTGTCATCTGAACTGTCATATCTGAAAGTTTCTGCAAAGACAGTGATTATGTGTGAATGATGGTGAAAGTGTTTCTTTTTTTGGGTCACCCTGCCTCGGTGGGAGATGCCGATGTGTTAAAAAAAAAAAACATAAAATCCACCACTATTTCCAGTGAAAATTCTAAAAATCTGTAAGACTCTTGAGTAGAAATACATAGCAAGCTCACTTGTGCTACAAACAATTTCCTTCATAATATCACTGAACGGCCTTCACCACTGAGCTTCAATAATTTAAACACACAGTCTGCAAGAAAAGTGCCGTCAGGACTGTAATAATTATACCTCATAGAAAATTATTGCTAAAACAGTGTAGCTTTATAAATTACATAATTGTAAACGAAAAAAATATGCCTACAGCAGGACTGTCAAGGCTAACAACTATGTCCAGTTTATGGGTTAAATGATTTATGTGAAAATTATTATGTATCTAACTGGTGTGTATGTGTGTGTATCTATTGATGCCATATATTTTGGGCAAATATTAGCATATTATATAGGTAGTAGGTTGGTAGACAGCAACCACCCAAGGAGGTACTACCGTCCTGCCAAGTGAGTGTAAAACGAAAGCCTGTAATTGTTTTACATGATGGTAGGATTGCTGGTGTCCATTTTTCTGTCTCGTGAACATGCAAGATTTCAGGTACATCTTGTTACTTCTACTTACACTTAGGTCACACTACACATACATGTTTTTTATTTTTCAACAAGTCGGCCGTCTCCCACCGAGGCAGGGTGACCCAAAAAAGAAAGAAAATCCCCAAAAAGAAAATACTTTCATCATCATTCAACACTTTCACCACACTCACACATTATCACTGTTTTTGCAGAGGTGCTCAGAATACAACAGTTTAGAAGCATACACATATAAAGATACACAACATATCTCTCCAAACTGCCAATATCCCAAACCCCTCCTTTAAAGTGCAGGCATTGTACTTCCCATTTCCAGGACTCAAGTCCCTTTATATAAAGGGAAAGGGGACAAAAAAAAACTGTAAAAATTATAGGGGAATAAGTTTACTGAGTATACCAGGAAAAGTGTACAGTAGGGTTATAATTGAAAGAATTAGAGGTAAGACAGAATGTAGGATTGCGGATGAGCAAGGTTTCAGAGTGGGTAGGGGATGTGTAGATCAAGTGTTTACATTGAAGCATATATGTGAACAGTATTTAGATAAAGGTAGGGAAGTTTTTATTGCATTTATGGATTTAGAAAAGGCATATGATAGAGTGGACAGAGGAGCACTGTGGCAGATGTTGCAAGTATATGGAATAGGTGGTAAGTTATTAAATGCTGTAAAGAGTTTTTATGAGGATAGTGAGGCTCAGGTTAGGGTGTGTAGAAGAGAGGGAGACTACTTCCCGGTAAAAGTAGGTCTTAGACAGGGATGTGTAATGTCACCATGGTTGTTTAATATATTTATAGATGGGGTTGTAAAGGAAGTAAATGCTAAGGTGTTCGGGAGAGGGGTGGGATTAAATTTTGGGGAATCAAATTCAAAATGGGAAATGACACAGTTACTTTTTGCTGATGATACTGTGCTTATGGGAGATTCTAAAGAAAAATTGCAAAGGTTAGTGAATGAGTTTGGGAATGTGTGTAAAGGTAGAAAGCTGAAAGTGAACATAGAAAAGAGTAAGGTGATGAGGGTATCAAATGATTTAGATAAAGAAAAATTGGATATCAAATTGGGGAGGAGGAGTATGGAAGAAGTGAATGTTTTCAGATACTTGGGAGTTGACGTGTCGGCGGATGGATTTATGAAGGATGAGGTTAATCATAGAATTGATGAGGGAAAAAAGGTGAGTGGTGCGTTGAGGTATATGTGGAGTCAAAAAACGTTATCTATGGAGGCAAAGAAGGGAATGTATGAAAGTATAGTGTACCAACACTCTTATATGGGTGTTAAGCTTGGGTGGTAAATGCAGCAGCGAGGAGACGGTTGGAGGCAGTGGAGATGTCCTGTTTAAGGGCAATGTGTGGTGTAAATATTATGCAGAAAATTCGGAGTGTGGAAATTAGGAAAAGGTGTGGAGTTAATAAAAGTATTAGTCAGAGGGCAGAAGATGGGTTGTTGAGGTGGTTTGGTCATTTAGAGAGAATGGATCAAAGTAGAATGACATGGAAAGCATATAAATCTATAGGGGAAGGAAGGCGGGGTAGGGATCGTCCTCGAAAGGGTTGGAGACAGGGGGTAAAGGAGGTTTTGTGGGCAAGGGGCTTGGACTTCCAGCAAGCGTGCATGAGCGTGTTAGATAGGAGTGAATGGAGACGAATGGTACTTGGGACCTGACGATCTGTTGGAGTGTGAGCAGGGTAATATTTAACATACATGTACAAGCATATATATACACACCCTTCTGGGTTTTCTTCTATTTTCTTACTAGTTCTTGTTCTTGTTTATTTCCTCTTATCTCCATGGGGAAGTGGAAGAGAATTCTTCCTCCGTAAGCTATGCGTGTTATAAGAGGTGACTAAAATGCCAGGAGCAAGGGGCTAGTAACCCCTTCTCCTGTATAACTTACTAAATTTAAAAAGAGAAACTTTCGTTTTTCTTTTTGGGCCACCCTGCCTTGGTGGGATACGGCCGGTTTGTTGCAAAAAAAAAAAAAAAAAAAAAAAAAAAAAAAAAAAAAAAGCACATTACTTTTTTTTTTGTCCAGAACCAAGCCATATATTTTCCACTGATTTTGTAATCCCTTTAACATTTTCAATGTTCAGGATATTGTTCAAGGATATAACCCTCATGAAGAGACACTATAGTTATCTTACCTTGAGTGAAGCTGCATATCAAGATGAGCAAGATATAGTTCAGAGCAGAGATCATATCCAGCCATGTGGTTCTGGCTGGCAATAAGGTCTTGAATAGCCGATTCACTCAATGGGAGACCAGAGTCATAATGGCAACTAATTTGCTGCAGTGTATTAGGTTCACATAACCTTGGAAAAAAACAGATGAATGTTCATGTGATAATCACAAGAATGTTATGAACAATTACACAATGATCAATCATTAAAATATCTTTGGAAAACACAGTTGTCTTGCATTACAATGATCAGGTTACTATTGTTATTCTTTAAGTTTACATTACTTATAAGTTATTGTTAAAATAAAATTACAAATAAAAATCTTATGGAAAAAAAAAACATAAATCTACAAAAGAATGATCAAATAAAATCTTAGGTTGACATGCTCAAGTGCAATAATAATAATCAATCGTTTCACACTAAAATCCTACATGGTTATTTTGCGAAATACTCTTTATGTCATACAATTTGCACTTAAAAATTTTCTTTCTAATCATTTGCAAGCTGAAGTATCAAAATCCCTTAACTCTGCATACACTCTTCTTAATTACCATTGACCTGAAGTGTTGCCAGGTTATGAAGTGGTTTACGTATACCTAGTATAAGTTCTTCCACTAAGCTTTTTAACGTGCTACATTTTTATCAAAATTTTGTATGTTTATATTAAGCACTCTAACCAAATTTATTTAGAAATAATAATATATTAGATAATGTCACAACATATATCTCAGAACATAAAAAACACACGAGTTAGTCCTGTACTGACCAGTTCTGCATAAAATATGAACACACTTCCACTGCATCCCATTCAATGTTAGTCAATCCAGAAGCTTCACTGTAGGGAATTGTTGTCAGAAGATGCTGAAGGGCAGTGCCAAACTGCAAAAATATACTACAGTTAATCATGATTATTTTAAGAAAATGTGATAAAATGATTACCCCGAAAAAGATTGTAATATTTTATCCAGTGTCGAGAGCGCTACAGAAATGCATTAATGCCTTAGTAAACATATAACTTGTGAAGTGTTTAACAAATGCATATTTTGTATTAAGATTTTTTTACATACATGTATTAGAAGAATTCTCTGTTTTAGGTAAATATCTTTAAATATACATACATAAAGCTTGATGAAAAGGTTACCTTCCAAAGCTCCTTCATATGTACAGTTGTGTACAAAACCTTGCTCTTGTATACAACTGTATACAACTTGCCATTCACAGTCTAACACAGGCACTGCCACTCACAGTGGCTATGTTAGACAGTGAGTGGCAAGTCCCAAAAGTCATTTTAAGTGTGGTAATCCTCATAACTATCAACAGGTATCCAATATGTAACACTTTACCTAAATATTAATTATCTTTTATATATTCACAATTAATTTTGCATATGATTATTTGCTACTTGAGATCTTCCTCATATACTGTTAAATAAAAATATTGTATTGCCAATATGTGTATATTCATAAAAGAAAAAACTACACTACAACTTACTTTCTGAAAGAGAATGATGACCTCAGAGAAAGTCAGTAGAGACTGGTGTTCTTTTGAAACAGGAGGAGTAAAATTGAACACCAAATTAACTACAGGCAAAGTTCCAGCAACATCTGATCGGTTGCGGCAACCCAGACACCAGGCAGAATCTAGGTGAGTTTGGAGTTTTTCTCCAGGTCTATCAAGGAAAATATTAATTTGTTGTATTGCAGAAATATTAAATATTTCTATAGCATTGCCACTAATTTCACATCCCATCAATACTTGTGAAATTATTTTAATATAGAGTACAGTCTCTCCTCACTTAATGACAGAGTTCCGTTCGTAAGACCATGTTGGTAAATGAATTTGTCACTAATCGAGGAATCACCCCTTACTGACACTTCAAAAGTGTCACCACCCAAAATTAAAACATTCAGTTTTATGTTTGTTGGGAAATTCCTTTCAATGTTTATTATTAATGATAATACAACATAAAATAGGTCAGTGACTTCCGAGATATTCCAGGAATCACGTGCATAGCTGATTACTTGGGAATTTTTTTTTTTTCCGAGAAAATTGCACTTTTTTCAGTCTTTGCATAGGATAAGAGTGATCTTCTATAGTTACCCTTCAGGCACATAGCGTGTAACGTTTTCTGTAATGGTCGCGGTCACTTTTTTTTCTTATCCTTCCCTGCCCTCCACTCTTCAATATCACACTATAAAATGTTGGTTTTTATTAATTTGGGCATATTTATCATGCTTCTATGTTATTTATGTTATTTTTTTTTTTTCAACAAGTCGGCCGTCTCCCACCGAGGCAGGGTGACCCAAAAAGAAAATACTTTCATCATCATTCAACACTTTCACCACACTCACACATTATCACTGTTTTTGCAGAGGTGCTCAGAATACAACAGTTTAGAAGCATATACATATAAAGATACACAACATATCCCTCCAAACTGCCAATATTTATGTTACACCTAATATTATTCTGGAATAAATATGTTAGGTAGATAACCTTTATTGACAGTATAATTATACAATATTTCATATGGGCAATCATGAGTTACTGAGACACTGCTCGCTTCTCCCTCTGCTATAGTTCTGCCCACTTTGTAACCATGCCAAATGGTGAATTAAATACATATACATATATAGAAAGAAAAAATAAAATAAAATGAAACTCCAACTTGATAACTTTGCATAACTCTTATATATTTCAGAAAACAACAAAAAAGTAAAATATACATACGAGTTAAGCTTACAGAAAAATAGCTTAAGAATCTGGCAACATTTTGGTATAAGTATCATCTTTGTATCATGTTTCTACACAGAATTATAGCCATTTTACAAAAATTATTTTTATGACACAGCGAGTAATGTATGTACATCTGAACACATGGTGAATTTTCAGAATTTTTTTCCGATTTTTTCATTTTTTTTTTTTTTAAATTTTCTGATACATTAAATTCACCATCTAACATCGTTATGAAGTAGCAGGAGCTAAATCAGAAAGAGAGAGGCCAGCAGGAGCATTCAGTATCTGGTTAGTTGTCATGGGCATCAGATGTTAGCTGTGGCACTAATAAAATATTGTGTAATTGTGCTAATATTAGTAATAAAGGTTTTCTATCACATTTATTTCAAACTGAACTGTGCAATAATAATAATCAATCGTTTCACACTAAAATCCTACATGGTTATTTTGCGAAATGCTCTTTAAAAAAGAGAAACTTTTGTTTTTCTTTTTGGGCCACCCTGCCTCGGTGGGATACGGCCGGTTTGTTGAAAGAAGAAGAAGTTTTATTATAAATAAAATTTATCAATTTTACACCAGCATTCATTCATTTATATCTGCACACCTCTGGCAAGACAGTGATAGTGTGAATAATGGAGAGGGCTTCTTTTACAGGTCACCCTGCCTCAGTGGGAGACGGCCAGTGTGCTAAAAAATGGTAGGATTGCTGGTTTCTTTTTCTGTCTCATAAACACGCTAAGATAACAGGGATATCTTGCTACTCCTACTTACACTTTGGTCACACTTCACAGACACGCACATGCATATATATATATACATACATCTAGGTTTTTCTCCTTTTTCTAAATAGCTCTTGTTCTTTTTTATTTCTTCTATTGTCCATGGGGAAGTGGAAAAGAATCTTTCCTCCGTAAGCCATGCGTGTCGTATGAGGCGACTAAAATGCCGGGAGCAATGGGCTAGTAACCCCTTCTCCTGTATACAATTACTAAAAAAGAGAAGAAGAAAAACTTTATAAAACTGGGTTGCTTAAATGTGCGTGGATGTAGTGCGGATGACAAGAAACAGATGATTGCTGATGTTATGAATGAAAAGAAGTTGGATGTCCTGGCCCTAAGCGAAACAAAGCTGAAGGGGGTAGGAGAGTTTCAGTGGGGGGAAATAAATGGGATTAAATCTGGAGTATCTGAGAGAGTTAGAGCAAAGGAAGGGGTAGCAGTAATGTTAAATGATCAGTTATGGAAGGAGAAAAGAGAATATGAATGTGTAAATTCAAGAATTATGTGGATTAAAGTAAAGGTTGGATGCGGGGAAGTGGGTCATAATAAGCGTGTATGCACTGGAGAAGAGAGGAATGCAGAGGAGAGAGAGAGATTTTGGGAGATGTTAAGTGAATGTATAGGAGCCTTTGAACCAAGTGAGAGAGTAATTGTGGTAGGGGACTTGAATGCTAAAGTAGGAGAAACTTTTAGAGAGGGTGTGGTAGGTAAGTTTGGGGTGCCAGGTGTAAATGATAATGGGAGCCCTTTGATTGAACTTTGTATAGAAAGGGGTTTAGTTATAGGTAATACATATTTTAGAAAAAGAGGATAAATAAGTATACACGATATGATGTAGGGCGAAATGACAGTAGTTTGTTGGATTATGTATTGGTAGATAAAAGGACTGTTGAGTAGACTTCAGGATGTACATGTTTTTAGAGGGGCCACAGATATATCAGATCACTTTCTAGTTGTAGCTACACTGAGAGTAAAAGGTAGATGGGATTACAAGGAGAATAGAAGCATCAGGGAAGAGAGAGGTGAAGGTTTATAAACTAAAAGAGGAGGCAGTTAGGGTAAGATATAAACAGCTATTGGAGGATAGATGGGCCAATGAGAGCATAGGCAATGGGGTCGAAGAGGTATGGGGTAGGTTTAAAAATGTAGTGTTAGAGTGTTCAGCAGAAGTTTGTGGTTACAGGAAAGTGGTGCAGGAGGGAAGAGGAGCGATTGGTGGAATGATGATGTAAAGAGAGTAGTAAGGGGAGAAAAAGTTAGCATATGAGAAGTTTTTTACAAGTAGAAGTGATGCAAGGAGGGAAGAGTATATGGAGAAAAAGAGAGAAGTTAAGAGAGTGGTGAAGCAATGTAAAAAGAGAGCAAATGAGAGAGTGGGTGAGATGTTATCAACAAATTTTGTTGAAAATAAGAAAAAGTTTTGGAGTGAGATTAACAAGTTAAGAAAGCCTAGAGAACAAATGGATTTGTCAGTTAAAAATAGGAGAGGAGAGTTATTAAATGGAGAGGTAGAGGTATTGGGAAGATGGAAGGAATATTTTGAGGAATTGTTTAAATGTTGATGAAGATAGGGAAGCTGTGATTTCGTGTATAGGGCAAGGAGGAATAACATCTTGTAGGAGTGAGGAAGAGCCAGTTGTGAGTGTGGGGGATGAGTTCGTGAGGCAGTAGGTAAAATGAAAGGGGGTAAGGCAGCCGGGATTGATGGGATAAAGATAGAAATGTTGAAAGCAGGTGGGGATATAGTTTTGGAGTGGTTGGTGCAATTATTTAATAAATGTATGGAAGAGGGTAAGGTACCTAGGGATTGGCAGAGAGCATGCATAGTTCCTTTGTATAAAGGCAAAGGGGATAAAAGAGAGTGCAAAAAATTATAGGGGGATAAGTCTGTTGAGTGTACCTGGTAAAGTGTATGGTAGAGTTATAATTGAAAGAATTAAGAGTAAGACGGAGAATAGGATAGCAGATGAACAAGGAGGCTTTAGGAAAGGTAGGGGGTGTGTGGACCAGGTGTTTACAGTGAAACATATAAGTGAACAGTATTTAGATAAGGCTAAAGAGGTCTTTGTGGCATTTATGGATTTGGAAAAGGCGTATGACAGGGTGGATAGGGGGGCAATGTGGCAGATGTTGCAAGTGTATGGTGTAGGAGGTAGGTTACTGAAAGCAGTGAAGAGTTTTTACGAGGATAGTGAGGCTCAAGTTAGAGTATGTAGGAAAGAGGGAAATTTTTTCCCAGTAAAAGTAGGCCTTAGACAAGGATGTGTGATGTCACCGTGGTTGTTTAATATATTTATAGATGGGTTGTAAGAGAAGTAAATGCGAGGGTCTTGGCAAGAGGCGTGGAGTTAAAAGATAAAGAAATCACACACAAAGTGGGAGTTGTCACAGCGCTCTTTGCCGATGACACTGTGCTCTTGGGAGATTCTGAAGAGAAGTTGCAGAGATTGGTGGATGAATTTGGTAGGGTGTGCAAAAGAAGAAAATTAAAGGTGAATACAGGAAAGAGTAAGGTTATGAGGATAACAAAAAGATTAGGTGATGAAAGATTGATATCAGATTGGAGGAGAGAGTATGGAGGAGGTGAACGTATTCAGATATTTGGGAGTGGACGTGTCAGCGGATGGGTCTATGAAAGATGAGGTGAATCATAGAATTGATGAGGGAAAAAGAGTGATGTGGTGCACTTAGGAGTCTGTGGAGACAAAGAACTTTGTCCTTGGAGGCAAAGAGGGGAATGTATGAGAGTATAGTTTTACCAACGCTCTTATATGGGTGTGAAGCGTGGGTGATGAATGTTGCAGCGAGGAGAAGGCTGGAGGCAGTGGAGATGTCATGTCTGAGGGCAATGTGTGGTGTGAATATAATGCAGAGAATTGTAGTTTGGAAGTTAGGAGGAGGTGCGGGATTACCAAAACTGTTGTCCAGAGGGCTGAGGAAGGGTTGTTGAGGTGGTTCGGACATGTAGAGAGAATGGAGCGAAACAGATGACTTCAAGAGTGTATCAGTCTGTAGGGAAGGAAGGCGGGGGAGGGGTTTGGCCCAGGAAGGGTTGGAGGGAGGGGGTAAAGGAGGTTTTTGTGTGCGAGGGGCTTGGTTCCCGCAGGGGATGCGGGGGGAAGTTTTTTTTCCCTTTCCCCTGCCCTCCCTCTTCAATATCCACTATAAAATTTTGGGTTTTTTATTTTTTTGGGCATATTTATCATGCTTCTAGTTATTTATGTTATTTTTTTTTTTCAACAAGTCGGCCGTCTCCCACCGAGGCAAGGGTGACCCAAAAAGAAAAAACTTTCATCATCATTAAAACACTTTCACCACACTCACACATTATCACTGTTTTTGCAGAGGTGCTCAGAATACAACAGTTTAGAAGCATATACTATAAAGATACACAACATATCCCTCCAAATGCCAATATTTATGTTACACCTAAATTATTCTGGAATAAATATGTTAGGTAGATAACCTTTATTTGACATTTATAATTATACAATATTTCATATGGGCAATCATGAGTTACTGAGACACTGCTCGCTTCTCCCTCTGCTATAGTTCTGCCCACTTTGTAACCATGCCAAATGGTGAATTAAATACATATACATATATAGAAAGAAAAAAATAAAATAAAATGAAACTCCAACTTGATAACTTTGCATAACTCTTTAATATTTCAGAAAACAACAAAAAAGTAAAATAAAACATACGAGTTAAGCTTACAGAAAAATAGCTTAAGAATCTGGCAACATTTTGGTATAAGTATCATCTTTGTATCTTTGTTTCTACACAGAATTATAGCCATTTTCCCAAAATTTATTTTTTTACACAGCGAGTAATGTATGTACATCTGAACACATGGTGAATTTTCAGAATTTTTTTCCGATTTTTTCATTTTTTTTTTTTTTTTTAAATTTTCTGATACATTAAATTCACCATCTAACATCGTTATGAAGTAGCAGGAGCTAAATCAGAAAGAGAGGGGCCAGCAGGAGCATTCAGTATCTGGTTAGTTGTCATGGGCAATCAGATGTAGCTGTGGCACTAATAAAATATTGTGTAATTGTGCTAATATTAGTAATAAGGTTTTTTCTATCACATTTATTTCAAACTGAACTGTTGCAATAATAATAATCAATCGTTTCACACTAAAATCCTACATGGTTATTTTGCGAAATGCTCTTTAAAAAAGAGAAACTTTTGTTTTTCTTTTTGGGCCACCCTGCCTCGGTGGGATACGGCCGGTTTGTTGAAAGAAGAAGAAGTTTTATTATAAATAAAATTTATCAATTTTACACCAGCATTCATTCATTTATATCTGCACACCTCTGGCAAGACAGTGATAGTGTGAATAATGGAGAGGGCTTCTTTTACAGGTCACCCTGCCTCAGTGGGAGACGGCCAGTGTGCTAAAAAAAAAATAATTCATTCATTCATAAATTTTGTGATTTTGTCTATACAATTGCACTCATTTACCCAAGTCTTTCATCTGGCATGAATATGTCAACATTTCAACTTTACTTATATGCTTCCACAGCATTTACAAAGACATTTACTTCTATCCTTCCACAGCATTTACAAAGACAAAGACAAAATTTATTTCTTCGCAAAGGTTACAATGTGTGTTTACATTTTATATGTACTGTTAGGTATAAAGAAAGCTATTAACATGAAGGGGCATTTTGGGCAGATTAATCCTAATGCTTACAGTTTTTTTTTTCTTTTTTTTTTTAACAAGTCGGCCGTCTCCCACCAAGGCAGGGTGACCCAAAAAGAAAGAAAAACCCCAAAAAGAAAATACTTTCATCATCATTCAACACTTTCACCTCACTCACACATAATCACTGTTTTTGCAGAGGTGCTTCGAATACAACAGTTTAGAAGTATATACGTCCAAAGATACACAACATATCCCTCCAAACTGCCAATATCCTAAACCCTTCCTTTAAAGTGCAGGCATTGTACTTCCCATTTCCAGGACTCAAGTCCAGCTATATAAAATAACCAGTTTCCCTGAATTCCTTCACTAAATATTACCCTGCTCACACCCCCAACAGCTTGTCAGGTCCCAAATACCATTCGTCTCCATTCACTCCTATCTAACATGCTCGCGCATGCTTGCTGGAAGTCCAAGTCCCTCGCCCACAAAACCTCCTTTACCCCCTCTCTCCAACCTTTTCAAGGACGACCCCTACCCCGCCTTCCTTCCCATACAGATTTATACGCTCTCCATGTCATTCTACTTTGATCCATTCTCTCTAAATGACCAAACCACCTCAACAACCCCTCTTCAGCCCTCTGACTAATACTTTTATTAACTCCACACCTTCTCCTAATTTCTACACTCCGAATTTTCTGTATAATATTTACACCACACATTGCCCTTAGACATGACATCTCCACTACCTCCAACCACCTCCTCGCTGCAGCATTTACAACCCAAGCTTCACACCCATATAAGAGTGTTGGTACTAGTATACTTTCATACATTCCCTTCTTTGCCTCCAAAGATAACATTTTTTGTCTCCACATATACCTCAATGCACCACTCACCTTTTTTCCTTCATCAATTCTATGCTTACAGATACTTCCAAATAATCACCATACAGGTGAGCCCCACTTTACAGTGTTTTGCTAATGCAGCGGTTTTCAATTATACCCATTCTTCATTTATTCAGACTTCCTATAATAAATATATTCACCACTCACTATAAGCTAAAACTGAAAATATTTTAAGGTAAATAATGTGTGTACTGTATAGGCATTTTCTAGGCCTAGCTCTATTGCTCACTTAATATATGATAGTTTAAACATGTTATCAGGTTTTTATATGCATTTGAAAGGGTAAAAAGCCTATGTTTTACTTTACAGCAATTTTTGCTTTACAGCAGAAGCTTGGAACCTAACCTGCTGTATAAGCAGGACCCACATGTATCTGTTGCATTTATTTTACTTTATACTCTTTGCCCTACTTCAGCCCATTAACCCTTAAACTGTCCAAACGTAGATCTACGTTTTTTCAACATTTGAAAGTACGTAAAAAAAGTAAATCTTCTTTTCTTTTTTTTACATTTGAAAACGTGTAAAAAAATTTTTTGATCTACTTTTGTTTTGTTATATTTGAAAATATGTAAAAAAAACGTAGATCTACTTTTGGAGCACTACGCATGTGAACGTAAATTTGTTTGGACAGTTTAAGGGTTAAAATTATTTTTATTTATTTTTATTTTTGATTCACTAGACTATATATTAATTCTAAAACTGCCTTGATCTTAGTATAATAATGTGAAACAAGAAAATATGCTTTATCATAAAGAATAAATAATACAGTGGACCCCCGGTTAACGATATATTTTCACTCCAGAAGTATGTTCAGGTGCCAGTACTGACCGAATTTGTTCCCATAAGAAATATTGTGAAGTAGATTAGTCCATTTCAGACCCCCAAACATACACGTACAAACGCACTTATATAAATACACTTACATAATTGGTCACATTCGGAGGTAATCGTTATGCGGGTATCCACTGTATAACACAAGATAATATATGATTATGTTCACTCAAAAATTATTCAAGTTATTGAGATTAAATGAAGTACAGGACAATGAACTTACCTTTGGAAAGGATCCAAATAAAATGATGAGAGGTACTTCCCTGTATTGTCCGAGATACTGAAAAACCGAACATCAGGGTGCCATGTGGGAACTCTGTCACTTGGTATCTCTTCAAAGGCAAATTCCAAACAGTTTTGAGCACATTTCCAAAAGGCTGGCAAAAACATGATCAAAGGGGAAATACTCTTCAAGATGCAAATTATCAAACCTGGAATTTATAACAAAAGTGTAAACTTGTAATATTCACTGATACTCTTGCACTTCATACACAGTATAAATGGTACTTAATACACAACAAACACTTACAAGTCTTGTGAAAATTGAATATCCAAACACCCTACAGAAATGATAGACAGGTTGGCAAAAGCTTTTAAAAAATGCTAGGGATCCTTCATTAGTTCCAAGTTTGATAAAAATAAAAACAGAAAAAAGCATAAGGATCTTAACTCAAGCCAAATATCTAGGCATTTCTGATAGACTCTCTCACATACTAAACACACATACCCAGATAACCTGCACATAGGAGAAAGAAACTTATGATGATGCTTTGGTCCAACTTGGACCAAGTTGTACTAAAAGTCATTTTAAATTTCTTTCTCCTTTTGTGTGGATCATTTGTGTATTCTTCCAGTCACAGTACCTTTTGTTCTTTATTAAATGCACATATAACAACAGAAAAAATCTACTTGGACCTTCAGAAAAAATTATTCACATAATGGATTTTTAATTAAGACACTATGTACATAGAAAAAGAGTAAGGTGATGAGAGTATCAAATGATTTAGATAAAGAAAAATTGGATATCAAATTGGGGAGGAGTAGTATGGAAGAAGTGAATGTTCTCAGATATTTGGGAATTGATGTGTCAGTGGATGGATTATGAAGGATGAGGTTAATCATAGAATTGATGAAGGAAAAAAGGTGAGTGGTGCATTGAGGTATATGTGGAGGCAAAAAATGTTATCTATGGAGGCAAAGAAGGAAATGTATGAAAGTATCAAACCATACCCCCGGCCGGGATTGAACCCGCGGTCATAGAGTCTCAAAACTCCAGCCCGTCGCGTTAGCCACTAGACCAGCTAGCCACAATAAGATTCATCCAACTAGGTATATTTCTACACCATAGGAAGGTTAGCACAGGCACCACTGTGACCACAAATGCAAGTTTTTACAGACGAATCTCCAGCTAGCGTGGCCATGACGAACTCTAGCTCAAGTCCCTTCACTGCCGTCAACATGACTCAAGAAATCGTAATGACACGATTGCAAACAAACCATACCCCTGGCCGGGATTGAACCCACGGTCATAGAGTCTCAAAACTCCAGCCCGTCGCGTTAGCCACTAGACCAGCTAGCCACAATAAGATTCATCCAACTAGGTATATTTCTACACCATAGGAAGGTTAGCACATTACGATTTCTTGAGTCATGTTGACGGCAGTGAAGGGACTTGAGCTAGAGTTCATCACGGCCACGCTAGCTGGAGATTCGTCTGTAAAAACTTGCATTTGTGGTCACAGTGGTGCCTGTGCTAACCTTCCTATGGTGTAGAAATATACCTAGTTGGATGAATCTTATTGTGGCTAGCTGGTCTAGTGGCTAACGCGACAGGCTGGAGTTTTGAGACTCTATGACCGTGGGTTCAATCCCGGCCAGGGGTATGGTTTGTTTGCAATCGTGTCATTACGATTTCTTGAGTTATGAAAGTATAGTAGTACCAATACTCTTATATGGGTGTGAAGCTTGGGTTGTAAATGCTGCAGCGAGGAGGCGGTTGGAGGCAGTGGAGATGTCCTGTCTAAGAGCAATGTGTGGTGTAAATATTATGCAGAAAATTCGGAGTGTGGAAATTAAGAGAAGGTGTGGAGTTAATAAAAGTATTAGTCAGAGGGCTGAAGAGGGTTTGTTGAGGTGGTTTGGTCATTTAGAGAGAATGGATCAAAGTAGAATGACATGGAGAGCGTATAAATCTGTAGGGGAAGGAAGGCGGGGTAGGGGTCGTCCTCGAAAATGTTGGAGGGAGGGGGTAAAGGAGGTGTTGTGGGCGAGGGGCTTGGACTTCCAGCAAGCGTGCGTGAGCATGTTAGATAGGAGTGAATGGAGACAAATGGTATTTGGGACCTGACGATCTGTTGGAGTGTGAGCAGGGTAATATTTAGTGAAGGGATTCAGGGAAACTGGTTATTTTATATAACCAGACTTGAGTCCTGGAAATGGGAAGTACAATGCCTGCACTTTAAAGGAGGGGTTTGGGATATTGGCAATTTGGAGAGATATATTGTGTATTTTTATACATATATACTTCTAAGCTGGTGTATTCTGGGCACCTCTGCAAAAACAGTGATTGTGTGTGAGTGAGGTGAAAGTGTTGAATGATGATGAAAGTTTTTCTTTTTGGGGATTTTCTTTCTCTTTGGGTCACCCTGCCTCGGTGGGAGACGGCCGACTTGTTGAAAAAAAAAAAAAGTACTTTTATTTTATATAAACACGTTGACCGTTTCCCACTGAGGCAGGGTGACCCAAAAAGAAAGAAAAACCCAAAAAGAAAGAAAATTTTTTTTTATTATTATTCAACATTTTCACCATCACTCATACATAATCATTGTTTTTACAGAGGCACTCAGATATGATAGTTTAGATGTCCCTCCAAACTGCCCATATCCCAAACCCCTTTAAAGAGCAGGCACTGTACTTCCCATTTCCAGGACTTAACTCTGGCTAACCAGTTCCCCTGAATCCCTCCACAAAATATTACCCTGCTCACACTCCACCAGCTCATCAGGTCCCAAAAACCATTTGTCTCCATTTACTCCTATCAAACATGCTCACGCACACATGCTGGAATTAACATATGACCGATTAACTGCTATGCCTCAGAGCTCACTTGTACAAATGACATTTCTGTTTTCTCCTCCAGTAGTCAACATCCCAGGCCTCCAGCTTAGAGTCAAAGCCTCTACTTTCAGCAAATTCTTGCAGTGAATCAATTTCTTTTTTCTGAGCATTCTTTGCTGAAAAGAAAATAATCATTCTGTACTTGTAACAGAAACTGAGAAGTAAATGCTGTTAAATTCTGTTAACAATCTCTTACAAAAGCAATAAGTATCACCAATATCTCCAAACTATTTACAAAATGTCTAGGTAGTAGGTTGGTAGACAGCAACCGCCCAGGGAGGTACTACTGTCCTGCCAAGCGAGTGTAAAATGAAAGCCTGTAATTGTTTTACATAATGGTAGGATTGCTGGTGTCCTTTTTTCTGTCTCACGAACATGCAAGATTTTAGGTATGTCTTGCTACTTCTACTTACACTTAGGTCACACTACACATACATGTACAAACATGGGTTTTCTTCTATTTTCTTTCTAGTTCTTATTCTTTTTTATTTGCTCTTATCTCCATGGGGAAGTGGAACAGAATTCTTCCTCTGTAAGCCATACGTGTTGTAAGAAGTGACTAAAATGCGGGAGCAAGGGGCTAGTAACCTCTTCTCCTGTATATATTACTAAATGTAAAAGGAGAAACTTTTGTTTTTCCTTTTGGGCCATCCCGCCTCGGTGGGATACGGCCAGTGTGTTGAAAGAAAGAAAGAAGATTTACAAAATGTACAATATTGTAAAAAATCTACAAATTTTGGGACTTGAGCCCCCATTTACCAAGTCCCCTCAATAATCGTGTTAAATCAACATAAGAAATAAGTCTTTAAAATAAATCTATAAAATTATGAAGAAAATAAAAAGTAGACTAACAAGCCAAAATCAAAATACCTTTTGCTGAAAGACTTTCTATCATGGAAATAACATTATCCACACTTCCAGCCATTTTGGTTTCCATAGACATTTGTGCAAAGTTTTCATACCCAAGAAGACATGCCTGCTCTCCCCTGTTAAACAAAATATTTAGATGTGAGTGGAGCCACATAGACAAGAAATAAAGGAATGTGAGAAACTTTACTACACTTAATATTAAACAGAATCACTGGTAAAAGTATGATAGTTAAGAATGTTGGTACAAAGATGGTACAGGGCTAGCAAATTTAACAAGCTATAATTCATATATCAAGACCACATTATGATGCATGCAGTAAAGAAATTGACAGTAAAAGCAATGAGCATAGGAGGAAATGCAATGAAATCATGAAACAAATCATAAATAGGAGGTTCCCTATACCCTACCCTGCACTGGAAAATAGTGCACAGAATAACATAACATAGTGGACATGTCTTACCTTAAGGTCCTAATTTCTTCAATATGGACACTATTATTAATATCTTGACTAACATGGTTTGATGCTCTCATGTTATAGGCTCGGTATGTGTTACGACGCAATTCAGCATCAGGGCAATGCTCTAAAAAGCTGCCATAAACATATGGCTGAAGAGTAATGACCCATGGACCTTGTTTATACTGAGACCTGTAACAAATAAACTCATGAAGAAATGTTATTTAAAAATAAAGAATCAAATACAAAGTGGGAGTTGTCACAGTTGCTTTTAGCTGATGACATGGCACTTTTTGGATATTATGAAGAGAAGTTGTAAAGGATGATAAGATGAGTTTGGGAGGGTACAAAAAGAAGGAAACTAAAAGTGAACATAGGAAAGAGCAAAGTAATAAAAGATTGGATATCAGATTGGAAGGAAGGAGAAAGAAGGAAGTGAATGTACTCAGATCTTTGGGAGTGGATGGGTCTATGAAAGACAAGGTGAACCATAGAACTAACGAGGGGGGAAAACATAAAAAGTGGGTGGTGAATTGAGGCACCTGTGGACACAAAGAACCTTATTCATGGAGGCAAAGAGAGATATGTACCAGAGTAAAATGGTACCATCACTTATGAGTGTGAAACAAGGGTTATAAATTTTCCAAGGAGGAGGCTAGAGGCAGTGGAGCTGTCGTGTCTGAGGGCAATGTGTAGTGTGAATATTATACAGTGAATTTGTATTTTGGAGATTTGAAGGTGCAGGGTTACTGAAACTATTATCCAGTGGGATGAGAAGGGGTTGCTGAGGCAGTTTGAACATTTAGAAAGGATGGAGCAAAATAGGATGACTTGGTAAAAAACACAAGAAAATATCATATTTTAGAAATAATTAAAAAATGCTGAAAGTGCAGCAGCTGGTTCTAGTATAAACTGAAAAAAAGGTTGGAGGGAGGGGGTAAATGAGGTTTTCTGGGCGAGGGGCTTGGATTTCCAGCAAGCATGCGTGAGCGTGTTAGATAGGAGTAAATGGAGATGAATGGTATTTGGGACCTGATGAGCTGTTGGAGTGTGAGCAGGGTAATATTTAGTGAAGGGATTCAGGGAAACTGGTTATTTTTATATAGCAAGACTTGAGTCCTGGAAATGGGAAGTACAATGCCTGCACTTTAAAGGAGGGGTTTGGGATATTGGCAGTTTAGAGGGATATGTTGTGTATCTTTATATGTATATACAAGAATTATGTGGATTAAAGTAAAGGTTGGATGTGAAAAGTGGGTCATAATAAGTGTGTATGCACCTGGAGAAGAGAGGAATGAAGAGGAGAGAGAGATTTTGGGAGATATTAAGTGAATGTATAGGAGCCTTTGAACCAAGTGAGAGAGTAATTGTGGTAGGGGACCTGAATGCTAAACTGGAGAAACTTTTAGAGAGGGTGTGGTAGGTAAGTTTGGAGTGCCAGGTGTAAATGATAATGGGAGCCCTTTGATTGAACTTTGTATAGAAAGAGGTTTAGTTATAGGTAATACATATTTTAAGAAAAAGAGGATAAATAAGTATACAAGATATGATGTAGGGCTAAATGACAGTAGTTTGTTGGATTATGTATTGGTAGATAAAAGACTGTTGAGTAGACTTCAGGATGTACATGTTTATAGAGGGGCCACAGATATATCAGATCACTTTCTAGTTGTAGCTACACTGAGAGTAAAAGGTAGATGGGATACAAGGAGAATAGAAGCATCAGGGAAGAGAGAGGTGAAGGTTAATAAACTAAAAGAGGAGGCAGTTAGGGTAAGATATAAACAGCTATTGGAGGATAGATGGGCTAATGAGAGCATAGGCAATGGGGTCGAAGAGGTATGGGGTACGTTTAAAAATGTAGTGTTAGAGTGTTCAGCTGAAGTTTGTGGTTACAGGAAGGTGGGTGCGGGAGGGAAGAGGAGCGATTGGTGGAATGATGATGTAAAGAGAGTAGTAAGGGAGAAAAAGTTAGCATATGAGAAGTTTTTACAAAGTAGAAGTGATGCAAGGAGGGAAGAGTATATGGAGAAAAAGAGAGAGATTAAGAGAGTGGTGAAGCAATGTAAAAAGAGAGCAAATGAGAGAGTGGGTGAGATGTTATCAACAAATTTTGTTGAAAATAAGAAAAAGTTTTGGAGTGAGATTAACAAGTTAAGGAAGCCTAGAGAAAAATGGATTTGTCAGTTAAAAATAGGAGAGGAGAGTTATTAAATGGAGAGTTAGAGGTATTGGGAAGATGGATGGAACATTTTGAGGAATTGTTAAATGTTGATGAAGATAGGGAAGCTGTGATTTCGTGTATAGGGCAAGGAGGAATAACATCTTGTAGGAGTGAGGAAGAGCCAGTTGTGAGTGTGGGGGAAGTTCGTGAGGCAGTAGATAAAATGGGGGTAAGGCAGCCGGGATTGATGGGATAAAGATAGAAATGTTAAAAGCAGGTGGGGATATAGTTTTGGAGTGGTTGGTGAAATTATTTAATAAATGTATAGAAGAGGGTAAGGTACCTAGGGATTGGCAGAGAGCATGCATAGTTCCTTTGTATAAAGGCAAAGGGGACAAAAGAGAGTGCAAAAATTATAGGGGGATAAGTCTGTTGAGTATACCTGGTAAAGTGTATGGTAGAGTTATTATTGAAAGAATTAAGAGTAAGACGGAGAATAGGATAGCAGATGAACAAGGAGGCTTTAGGAAAGGTAGAGGGTGTGTGGACCAGGTGTTTACAGTGAAACATATAAGTGAACAGTATTTAGATAAGGCAAAAGAGGTTTTTGTAGCATTTATGGATTTGGAAAAGGCATATGACAGGGTGGATAGGGGGGCAATGTGGCAGATGTTGCAGGTGTATGGTGTAGGAGGTAGGTTACTGAAAGCAGTGAAGAGTTTTTACGAGGATAGTGAGGCTCAAGTTAGAGTATGTAGGAAAGAGGGAAATTATTTCCCAGTAAAAGTAGGCCTTAGACAAGGATGTGTGATGTCACCATGGTTAATATATTTAAAGATGGGGTTGTAAGAGAAGTAAATGCAAGGGTCTTGGCAAGAGGCGTGGAGTTAAAAGATAAAGAATCACACATAAAGTGGGAGTTGTCACAGATGCTCTTTGCTGATGACACTGTGCTCTTGGGAGATTCTGAAGAGAAGTTGCAGAGATTGGTGGATGAATTTGGTAGCGTGTGCAAAAGAAGAAAATTAAAAGTGAATACAGGAAAGAGTAAGGTTATGAGGATAACAAAAAGATTAGGTGATGAAAGATTGGATATCAGATTGGAGGGAGAGAGTATGGAGTAGGTGAATGTATTCAGATATTTGGGAGTGGACGTGTCAGCAGATGGGTCTATAAAAGATGAGGTGAATCATAGAATTGATGAGGGGAAAAGGGTGAGTGGTGCACTTAGGAGTCTGTGGAGACAAAGAACTTTGTCCTTGGAGGCAAAGAGGGGAATGTATGAAAGTATAGTTTTACCAACGCTCTTATATGGGTGTGAAGCATGGGTGATGAATGTTGCAGCTAGGAGAAGGCTGAAGGCAGTGGAGATGTCATGTCTGAGGGCAATGTGTGGTGTGAATATAATGCAGAGAATTCGTAGTTTGGAAGTTAGGAGGAGGTGCAGGATTACAAAAACTGTTGTCCAGAGGGCTGAGGAAGGGTTGTTGAGGTGGTTCGGACATGTAGAGAGAATGGAGCGAAACAGAATGACTTCAAGAGTGTATCAGTCTGTAGTGGAAGGAAGGCGGGGTAGGGGTCGGCCTAGGAAAGGTTGGAGGGAGGGGGTAAAGGAGGTTTTGTGTGCGAGGGGCTTGGACTTCCAGCAGGCATGCGTGAGCGTGTTTGATAGGAGTGAATGGAGACAAATGGTTTTTAATACTTGACGTGCTGTTGGAGTGTGAGCAAAGTAACATTTATGAAGGGATTCAGGGAAACCCGCAGGCCGGACTTGAGTCCTGGAGATGGGAAGTACAGTGCCTGCACTCTGAAGAAGGGGTGTTAAAGTTGCAATTTAAAAACTAGTGTAAAGCACCCTTCTGGCAAGACAGTGATGGAGTGAATGATGGTGAAAGTTTTTCTTTTTCAGGCCACCCTGCCTTGGTGGGAATCGGCCAGTGTGATAATAAAATAACTTCTAAACTGATGTATTCTGAGCACCTCTGCAAAAACAGTGATTATGTATGAGTGAGGTGAAAGTGTTGAATGATGATGAAAGTATTTTCTTTTTGGGGATTTTCTTTTTTTTTTTTGGGTCACCCTGCCTCGGTGGGAGACGGCTGACTTGTTAAAAAAAAAAAAACACTAAGCAATACTGCTTGTGCACAGTCATTTGAGAATATAAAAATAAATCGTAATTCCAATAACTGGAGAAAAAACAAATGATTAAGAAAACTGCTTTAGGGAACAGAGACATGTAATGCAGACCATATCATTATTTTAAATGACATTATGCTCACGATTAAGCTTTATCTAGCTCAATCCTGAAAGAAACATCATCGAAAATAAAGGCTTGTTCTGAATTTTTTTTTTTTTTACACCCATTTTTCAGCATATGTTGCCTCAGTCACCAAAAACTGCTTGAAATGTTGAGCAAACTGAAGGAAGCAAAGACAGTAATCAAATTTGATGTTAAAATACATACAATTGGAATATATGTGAAAATGAATGAGGAGGTTATGGAGATCGGTCAAAAATGGCATTAGAGACTGGCCCGGTGGCCTGGTGGCTAAAGCTCCCGCTTCACACACGGAGGGCCCGGGTTCGATTCCCGGCGGGTGGAAACATTTCGACACGTTTCCTTACACCTGTTGTCCTGTTCACCTAGCAGCAAATAGGTACCTGGGTGTTAGTCGACTGGTGTGGGTCGCATCCTGGGGGACAAGATTAAGGACCCCAATGGAAATAAGTTAGACAGTCCTCGATGACGCACTGACTTTCTTGGGTTATCCTGGGTGGCTAACCCTCCGGGGTTAAAAATCCGAACGAAATCTCTTATGTCAATAACTATTACACAAGTGCAGCTCTAGGATATTTATTATGATAACATTTCACTGACTATTAGTTTTGTCAGTTCAGTGTTTCAATAATAAATGGCTTAGTGCTGCACTAGTGTCTTCTTTACATAAAGGATAAGGAAAGCAAAGAAAATTAAACAACTAAGCTCTGTACCAAAGAAATGTCATTTTTATGAGGAAAAAGCTAGGAATATAAAATTACTTACGGATCCCGTGCCATATTTTTCAACAAAGCATCAGGAAAATCTTTGACAATATTTGAATCTTGTATGTTATATGAAAATCTGCTGGAAGATTCCTGAAAAATATTAATAATAAAAATTAATTTTTCATTACCCTTTTCAACAACTTTATAAAAAGAAAAAAAATAAGAAACGTTGGATATGAGGATAATTACACAATTATTTCTTTACACATCTCACAACCTATACGTATTGCTCAATTACAGCACAGTATATGATGCAAATGATTTGGAAAACTGATAGGTTGAAGACTGAGACTTTTGTGCAACATTTGGGAACCTTTATTGAGGAAACGTTTCACCAGCCACTGGCTTCTTCAGTCCAATACAGAGATGAACGGTGAAAGATGAGTTGGAGAATGAGATAATGAGCCCTTCAGCCTGGAGCCAATGTGCTCAGTTCATCAATCTTGAGAAAAGTACAGCATATGCTGTAATATACAGGGTGTTTCATTCGTAGGAGGCCCTGTGTTGGTACTCCTGTAGTTGCAACCATCTTGTTTGTATATAGTCTATAGTAAATGATAACTCAGGGCCTTCTACTATGGGAATACCAACTCCTATGAGTGAAACACCCCATATAAGCCACTTCTCTGAGAATATGCAGTACTTTTCTCAAGATTGAGGAACTGAACACATCAACTCCAGGCTGAGGGATTGATTACCTCATTTTCCTCCTCATCTTCTACTGTTCTTCTCTGTATTGGATTGAAGAAGCCACTGACTGGCCAAACATTTCCTCAATTAAGATTCCCAAATGTTGCACAAGTATCTCATTCTTCAGTAGCACAGTATGGTTATGGCACATCACAATCTGGTACTAATGTCAAAGAAAATGGTTGGGCTTCAAACTAGCTACATACAGTATATCACTAATATTTTAACATATACAGTACTACTCTACCTTAAAAGAAACCTGAAAATATATCACAATTAGTGGAACATCCTTACAAGCTTTTGACTATAGCGGCACACTCCTTACTACCTACCACTCCTCGAGCAAAGCATGCATGCCTCTTCCAACATCACACCAATCGTTAGTCACTTCATCCTCCAGCAACATTCTCCATCCTCACTCTTACTATACCATTACCAAATGCTCACTCTTGTCAGCATATTCTCACTTCTAGTTCACTTCTTATTTCCACTTGCAACCCCTCCTCCCTGTTTAATTGAATCCCTCTCTTTCTTCCCTCCCATACATTAACATCCACTTACCATAAATCCTCCTAATGCAACTCCTTCCTTTCTCCTACAATCTGCCTTCTTCCTTTCATGCTCCTGATGCTCTGTCCCCTATGCTCCTCCATTTCGAATCCTTCCTATTCCTTTCTTTTCTACACAATAACTCCCTCAAAAAAATAATATGCACCAAGTTACATCCCTAGACATATGATTCTAATATACAATACATGTATTTAAGAAAAAAAAAAAAAATATTGTGTGTGTTTACCTATACAATTTGTTAGATTAAAGCTCATAATGAACATAATTATTTTTATATGTTAGCATCTTTAAGTACATAATTTAAAATGTGAATGTAATGACAAATTAAACAAATTCTGATGAAGTACAGTACATACTGATACTTGGCCACCAGTAATGCTAAAGTACAGCACAGTAATCTATTAATTCTCTGCTGCTGTGCAGTATTTAATGACCCTCACAAAGAACACTTTTCAGGAGTGTTATTATTTCTTTTTATAATTCCTATGCTTGCAAACTATCTATGAAAAAATGCCAAACTTATGATACCGCAATGCCTTCAAATTAATATGAAGTTCGTCTATGAGTACTGGTGATTCATGTGACCTTATTAACTGCAGTATAAAAACTGAAAAAATGTAACTCTTTCTTTCTTTCAACACACCGGCCGTATCCCACCGAGGTAGGGTGGCCCAAAAGGAAAAATGAAAGTTTCTACTTTTACATTTAGTAACATATACAGGAGAAGGGGTTACTAGCCCCTTGCTCCCGGCATTTTAGTTGCCTCCTATGACACACATGGCTTACGGAGGAAGAATTCTGTTCCATCTTCCCATGGAGATAAGAGGAAATAAACAAGAACAAAAACTAGAAAGAAAATAGAAGAAAACCCAGAGGGGCATGTATGTATATATATGCTTGTACATGTATGTGTAGTATGACCTAAGTGTAAGTAGAAGTAGCAAGACGTACCTCAAACCTTGCATGTTCATGAGACAGAAAAATGGACACCAGCAATCCTACCATCATGTAAAACAATTACAGGCTTTCGTTTTACACTCACTTGGCAGGACGGTAGTACCTCCCTGGGTGGTTGCTGTCTACCAGCCAACTACCTAGAAATATGTAACTCACCCACTTTAAAAATAATTTTCTACCCATATTTAAACAAAATTAAAATGCATAACCATATTTAAATTAAAAAATAACCTAACCCCACTACATTTAAACTAACCTAAATATATTTCAATAAAGAGGAAAAAAAATCCAATGCTAATTTTTGTGACTGATAATATACCCCATATTGACTTACGTTAAACCTAAACTTTTTTCTATCTCATTTATGTTAGACCTAATTTAGCATATGCAGATGTATTATATAACCTGCACCTAAAGAAACAAACAAAAAAAAATGTTATAAACAGAAAATTTGCAGGATTTAAAATTCTGATGGTATCAAGAATGATTACTACCTTCTTTGGAAGATATGAGCAAGAGAAGAAAAACAAATTTATGAAAGTGAGTAACGTAAAAGGTGAAGGTACTGAAAGTACTGAATTATAGCAAATTCAAAATAATCATACGAGTCTAGCATACAATGAAGAGCAGCTAACATAAATACTCACAACTACTTTTTTCCTGAATTCAGCTTTCAGAGACTCCAACTTTTTAAGTACATTTGTAAAAATGGTAGCTTTCTCTTCCAAAAGTTCAATTCCATTAAGCCGAGCTTCAAGGAGGAATTTACGTATGACTCGCCTCTGAGCATCATTTAAACTTGTATCTTTGACATATATTTCCTGCGAAAGAAAATTGGATTTAATAAATGAAATATTTGTATTTATTATATGAAGGAATGTACCTTAGATATTCTCTTTCAAATAACTAGGAATAAAAACAGAGTACATTAAAATAAAAATACGGAGACAAATGTCACCTATCTGGAAGAACTAATCAAGAAAGAAGATAAAAGAAACAGAGACAGGTTTGAGTGTATGGTGTACATGGAAAAGTCTACATGGTAAACTGCTAGTAATAATAAATATAGTCCAAGAAAATAGTTCTGCACAGCTAGTAATGATAAATGTAGTCTAATAACATATTATTGTACATCAGGGTACTGTACATGGAAAGACCAAATACCAGGGGGATATTTTGGTCTGTACTGAAGATACCTGTTAGATAAAGTACCTTTACAATACCTGGAAAAGGACAGATGAGACCAGGAAAAAAAAAAATTAGGTAGAGCACAGATAAAACCCAGCAATAAAGAAGTAGTATGAGGTTTCAAATTTAGGAGTCAAAAAGAATATCACAGCTGTTATTTACATGGCCCAAGACTCTTCAACATACTACTAGCAGGTATCAGAAATACTGCTGGAACAAAGAGAAAGTTTTCAAGAAGTTGGATACTTCTTTCAATAAGTGCCAGATCAACTGGTTTACCAGGCCATCAACAAAAAACCTGGCCTCAGGTGTGGCTGTGGGGGTTGAAGAGTCCAGTTATGGGTAAACACAGGTAAATATTGTTGGAATGAGTTGGGACTACCTTACTTTCTATCCTTCTTTAACCCTTTGAGGGTCGACAGGCCCTCTCCGAGACTTGTTCTCAGGGTCGGCCAAATTTAAAAAAAAAAAAAAAAAAATTCTTATGAAAAGATAGAGAATCTTTTCCCAATCATAATGACACCAAAAGTATGAAATTTGATGGAAAACTTATGGAATTATGCTCTCGCGAAGTTAGCGGTCTCGGCGATGTTTGCACATCGGCGATTTTGCCCACTTTGAGCCCCATTTTCGGCCAATTCCACTGTACTAGTCGAAAAAAAACATGAATATTTCGCTAGAACTCCATTTTTTCTATCGAATGAGTGCAAGAAACTACCCATTTACCAATTTCAACTATCCAGTACAGTGGTCAGAATTTAGCAATTTTGCCAGTTTCACACAAATTTCAAAAGATGCCAATTTCCGAATAGGGTCCAGAATAAACAAGAAAGACATTCCTGGCACTAAAATGACATTTCCTCTGTTCATTAGTCACATCTCAAGGCCCCTCTTACATTCTTTTGCTTTCCATTTTGAATTTTTATTCTCACAAAAAATAGAAGATTTACTGTTATGCAGACTACTGCATTAGTGTAAAAAATGGTATAAATAATATTGGCGCATTTGCGAAAGAATATTGGACTCACCAATTGATGTGTATTGGACGCTTGCCATGATTTGTTTACTTTTGTACTTTGGTAAAAATCGAACATTTCTGCTACTTTGAGCTCAATTTCAAGGTACTTTTCATTGTAAAACCAGCCAAAATCATCTCAATTTCTGTAATATGTCTTCTATTCTATAAAATGAGACCAAGAAAACTAGAATACAACAATAAATACCACACGAAAATACAGTGCAGTCGCTGTTTTATTCCAAAAAAACGGTCAAAGCTTTTTTTTCTCATTATGCACTGTGTGCTGCAGGATTTTTTTTATACTGTGCACACTGACCACATAGACCCATTCTTTCATATGTAGGCCTACCAGCTTTCTCCCACTAGATTTGAGGGCGCTAGAATTTAGGCGTTCTAGTACGTCAAAAACCCTGGGTCGAAGGCCGAAACCCTCAAAGGGTTAAACTCCTTTGATAATAATTCTGCAATGCACTTTACCCAGTATACTAAACAGATTCACTCTATAATTCTCACTCACTTGTGCCCTTTCTGTTACACAAAAAAGAAATTTGCTAGTCCTTAGGTCTCTGTACCTTTCTTTCTTTCATGCATACATTGCACTGAAATGTGCCAGTCATTCCAAAACAACATCTCCACCTGCAGTTGGAATAACTAGGATTGGACTGAAATTCAGTCGAATTCTAGTTATTCCAATTGCTTTTTTACACTTTTAACCTACCCACAACCTTGCTCATTTTCTCCATACTCAATTCTGCCTCTGTCTTCCTCATAAAAAATCCTATCACTCTGTGCCCCATGCAGAGTATGCATGAAATCTCTACCTCCTTATCAGCATTTCCCATCTCTCCAATAACTACACATCCAGGGTTAAGAAAAATTTGTTTGGATTTTTAACCTGAACAGTTATCCACCTCGGATAACCCAAGAAAGTCAGTATGTCATTTTCCATTGGGGTCCTTCAATACTATCCCCCAGGATGCGACCCACACCAGTCGATTAACACCTGGGTACCTACTTACTGCTAGGTGAACAGGGACAGCAGGTGTCAAGAAACATGCCTAATGTTTCTACACAGTCTGTGAGGCAAGAGCAGTGTCTACTGAGCTACTTAGGTTTTTACCTTATCTCTCTCAAAAACCAGTTTCTTATTCTCAACCAAGCTGGTTGATAATGACTGATGAATTCTCTCATTTGCTCCTTTACTTGCATTCACACACCACTTTTTTAACCCCTCTTTTTTTTCCATACACTCCACCTTACATGAATGGTTTTTACATTATAAAAACACTGCATATATATTCCTATTTAAAGATATGACAACTAATAGGAATACCTTCAGTTGTCATCAAATTCTTATAATAACTTCATCTACATTTGGAAATTAAACGAAGGTAAAAATATTTACAAACTGAGGTAGTTTCACTTGTAATTATTTATCATAAAACATACCTTACAAGCTTCATAGATTGGAAGGCTCTGAAACTTGTGTACTCTGGCTTTCCGAGCTCGTTCATGAATCTTAAGATATGCATCTGTATTCATTTCATGATTTTTAACAGTGTACAGTGTTTTCACATTACTCCATGCAGTATTCAAAGGAGACTCTAACTTGTCCAACTCTCCAATAATATTATCAAAGGTTTTTGGTTTCTTAGGGTCTGTAAAAGAAGAACAAGAGAATGATCAACATTTAAATCTCTCAAAGCATAATGGTGAGTATTGAATCAGTAAAACCATTAAGTGTTGTATCTAACAAGGTGTGAACACTGAAACATTTAGGTCAATATTCAGTCAAAGCTGATTATACTACATGACGGGTTCTTCTGACTGCCATGGAACTCTGGGAGATGAGCACATCACTGCTAATTAGGTTAAACATGAGTGAATCTGGCCAGTGACTGAACTGCCATGATATTGAATCAGTATTCATTAACACTTAAATTAAAGTTAAATACTGTACTGTTATAGAACTTTTCGATAATTTTACCTATGTTCATATGAGCATCTGGAATATCGGAAGGGTGTTTTATTACAGATCTCCAAGAGGTTTAGGTAGTTTGTATTTAGTGTCCTGAAGATGTAGAGTGCACTGTGGTATAAATTAATTGTCTGTATGTTTAATATGTTTAACCATTTTATAAGAGGGAAGAGTTGTATAGTCCTAAGAGTAAGACAGGATTCTTACGACCACTTTTGTTCTAACGATTGGTTTTAGATAGTCTGCTGTTGTAGACCCCCAAAAAATAATCCATAAGTGAGATATGGTTAGATTAGTGTAAAATTGAGTGTGAGTAAAATGCTAAGATTATGATTTTCTGAGTTGAAGTAAAACTTGGCTAAAGTTCTGCTAGAATATCAAAACATGAAGGTAGTTCTGATATTTTAAGAGTACTTGACCTGGGTGATCAATTAGCACTCTTGGCAATGAAAACATTTATAAGTACATACAATGGACCCCCAGTTTTCATCCGGTTTGGATTTCGAGATTCCAAGTTTACAGTGAATCGAGATCCAATCAAGTCGGGTAACAGGACGACAGCAGCAAGGATTGAACGGCACTCTACAATGAACAAAGGATTTGTTTAGCAATTGAGCACAATATGAGTCTTCAATGGAAATCACAGTAAAGCCAGCATCACACTTGCTCTTTGACTTGTTAGTAAAGACTTATCCTTCAAGCAAAAACAAAATCATGCTCCACGAAATTAGCCAAATTTACTGATATTTTTGCAAACTACCATTTTAAATTTCTATTACAGTGGACCCCCGGTATACGATGGCATCGGTATACTTTAAATCCGGTATACGATACATTTTAACGCAAAAATTTTGCCTCGCCACCCTTTAAAAAACCCGCCACACGCAATTCATATGGGACGCGTCCGCATGTGGCCTGAACTGCCCCGTGCGTGCCAGTGTTTACAAGCCAGCCAGTGTGCTCGCATCTAAGCATACATTCGGTACATTCCATATTATCACAATGTTTTTGGTGCTTGTTTCTGCAAAATAAGTCACCATGGGCCCCAAGAAAGCTTCTAGTGCCAACCCTGTGGTAAAAAGGGTGAGAATTAGTATGGAAATTAAGAAAGATTTTGAAGGGTTTGGGGCTAACCCTGAGAAGTCTATGCCAGTTGTGGAATCCATTGTGCCTACTTCAAAAATTAAGGAAATGTGTGCAAAGTGGGTTGAACTGCAAACCTTTATGGATGAAAATCACCCTAACACAGCTATTGCAAGCCATGCTGGTGACTATTACAATGACAATGTTATGGCCCATTTTAGACAAATCTTAAATGAACGGGAGGTACAGATCTCAATGGACAGATTTGTTGTGTGACAGAGGTCCAGTGACTCTCAAGCTGGTCCTAGTGGCATTAACCCTTAAACGGTCCAAATAGATCAACGCTCAAATGTCAGCATAGTTGCTGATCCCCTTATATGTGTTGTATAGATTAGCTGAGTATCATAGTACCATCCATGTGTTTATATAGAAGATCCCTAGGCCTGTGACTGTATGACGTCACGGGATACAGCATGAGTGAGTGAGAGGCGCTGCCTCATCCTCGCTCCACGTTTAGACATACGAAGGCAAGCAGGCAGGTCTGGGCTCCCATCCACAGTCTGACAATATATATCGTTACCATCCAACAAGTGAGTTTACCTTATCCATCGTATCTCCTACCGAACCCCCACGACACAAATCCGTAGTGCTCAAAAAGTAGATCTATTATTTTTTTTTACATATTTTCAAATATAACAAAAAAAATGTAGATAAAAGTTTTTTTACACATTTTCAAATGTAAATAAAAAAAAGATGGTGTACATTTTTTTGCATACTTTCAAATGTTGAAAAAACGTATATATACGTTTGGACCGTTTAAGGGTTAAAAGAAGAAGGGAAGTAACCCCAGAAAAAGACTTGCTACCTCAAGTCCTAATGGAAGGGGATTCCCCTTCTAAACATTAAACAACTTCAACACTCTCCCCTCCTCCCATCCCATCAATCATCACCAGATCTTCATTAAAGGTAAGTGTCATGTATTCTATTGTTAGTAGAGTACCACAAACTGCGCATGTCTTCTTCAGTTTGTGTGCATTAAACTTAATATTTCATGTAGTAAATTTTTTTTTCATACTTTTGGGTGTCTTGCACGGATTAATTTGATTTCCATTATTTCTTATGGGGAAAATTAATCTGCCTTCCAATAATTTGGCATACGATGAGCTCTCAGGAACGGATTAATATCGTATACCGGGGGTCCACTGTATATGCCAAAAGAACAAAAATAGACAGGACGCACCATGGGCTTTCTCTTCCATTGCCCAAACTCCGGATTCGTATTCTAGTGCCAGCTTGCCAATCCCAGTCCAACATTTCTCTGGGGTGAGTTGATCAAACTGTGGCAGAACATTAGTACGGAGCAACGCGTTGTCCTCTGGGGTATCGATAGGATTCTCTGGCACCCTGTAAAAGAATTCCAAGGTGATTAATAAGAAATAAACTTAAGATATACCTTTATTAAAACTTTAGTATAGATAAAACAATTGTCTTGTATAATTATCACACGAGAGTGCTAAGCCCACAGGGGTCATACAGCACTGACTTTCTTGGGGTTATCCTGTGTGGCTAACCCTCCGGAGTTAATTATTATTATAATCAAGGGGGAAGCGCTAAACCCGGAGGATTATACAGCGCCTGGGAAAGGGATGTGGAAGGCATTCAGGCTTAATTCGGGGAACTGGAGCACAGATCCAATTCCCTAGATCAAGAGCCCCTCACCAACATCAATAAACCTTCCTTGAGGGGCTCCAGTTAAAAATCCGAACAAAATCCTATCTTACTTGCCCGAAATACTCTGCTTAACTATGGTGGTTCTGCATGCACAAGTAACTGTCACTCATCTCTGTACAAACATTGTATCATGCTTAAATATTATTATTATTACATAGTGGATTATTATTATTATAATCAAGGGGGAAGCGCTAAACCCGGAGGATTATACAGCGCCTGGGGGGGGGGGATGTGGAAGGCATTCAGGCTTAATTCGGGGAACTGGAGCACAGATCCAATTCCCTAAATCAAGAGCCCCTCACCAACATCAAGGAACCTTCCTTGAGGGGAAGGTTTGCTAGGAGCACTACCGGCGAGGCACTAGTAGTACTCAGTAATTACGATGATTTATTGCTCTACCTGCGTTATTATGTCTTAATATAGACTTACAGCACAATATAAGTTGTCTTGGGCCGGAAGGATAATGATGCAGGAGTAAATCTTGCAAAACTTGATCTAATAAGTACTCTAGCCATGTTGTTACTGTTGTTGCATTTGTTTAAGGGCTACGGCAGGAGGAGCAGTCTGTATGATCCTCCCTAGGATGGTGGAACTCCCTGCTGTATGATCCTCCCTAGGATGGTGGAACTCCCTGCTGTATGATCCCCCCTAGGACGGTAGAACTCCCTGCTGTATGATCCTCCCTAGGACGGAGGAACTCCCTGCTGTATGATCCTCCCTAGGATGGTGGAACTCCCTGCTGTATGATCCTGCCCTGGAGGGAGTCCGTCCCCGCTGTACTATCCTCCCTTGGAGGGAGAGAGTAACTCTGCTGTATTATCCTCCCTAGGAGGGAGTTCCTCCCTGTTGTATGATCTTTCCTTGGAGGGAATAACTTCCTGCTGCATGATCCTCCCTTGGAGGGAGAGAGTCCATCCCTGCTGTATGATCATCCCTTGGAGGGAGTCCCTCCTTGCTGTACTATCCTCCCTTGGAGGGAGAGAGTAACTCCCTGCTGAATGGACCTCCCTTGGGGGAATCCCTTCCTGCTGTATGATCCTTCCTAGGAGGAGGGAGATCCTTGCTGTTGTTCTGGTTTTAGGTAGTCTCTAAGGATTAGTATTAATCTGCCTGAAATGCACAGGCATTTCAGGTTTTCTTTGTACTTAACAGTGTATGAAATGTTACACATACTATTAACCTTTGCAAAGTAATAAAAATTGTATGAACCTCCTTCGAAGGAGGGAGTTTAATTCCCTGGTGCATAATCCTTCCTTGAAGGAGGGAATAACTTTTTACTGTATGATCCTCCCTCTGAGAATGGGAGTCCCTCCCTGCTGTATGATCCTCCTTCGGAGATAGGAGTAACTCCTTGCTGTTTGATCCTCCCTATGAATGAGGGAGCAACTCCCTGCTGTATGATCCTTCCTAAGAGGGAATAACTCCCTGCTGTATGATCCTCCCTAGGAAGGAAGGAGTAACTCCTTGCTGCATGATCAAATCAAATCAAATCAAAGTTTATTCTCTGAAAGGATTACAACGCGGGGTTTACAGATTTTGGTTATTGTGTGATTTACATGTAATAAAATACTAATTACAGAGGGGGCCACTAGAGCACCTAGCATGGCTAGGCATTTCGGGCAAACTTAGATTAATTCTTAACCCTAAATTATTACAAATTATGGAGTAAGTTGACTAAATACTAAGTGACTAAATACCAGTTTGTGAGTTTAGCAATGTAAATGCTTTTGTTTTGGCACAATACATAGTTTCTATATTGGAGTATCACAGGCAAACTTGTGACTAGTTAGGAATCATTATTTTAAGATTAAGATACGTATTTCTGTGCTTACAGTCAAATGGGTAAGTGAGTGAGTGTAAGTGTGAACCACCAGGTAGTTTTTATGTAGTTGGTTGACGGGGTGTATCCTTCCTAGGAGGGAGTAACTCCCTGCTGTACAATCCTCCCTCGGAGAGAGAGAGAGAGAGTGAGTCTCTCCTTGCTGCAAGTAAGTTTATTTAGGAACAGATACACATAAGAATAATTATCATACCTAGTAACATATGTGGAAATTTCCCAGGATAACCCCTAGAAAATAAAAGAAAGTTACATTTTCATTGAGTTCCATATTTCCACTGGGATCCTCCCTTATTTCCACTGGGGTCCCTGACTTATTTCCATTTGGGTCCTTGACTTGTTTCCATTGGGATCCTTGACTTATTTCCAATGGGGTTCTTGACTTGTTTCCATTGGGGTCCTTGACTTAATGTCCAGTGGGGTTCTTCACTTATTTCCAATGGGGTCCTTGACTTGTTTCCATCTGAGTCCTTGACTTATTTCCAATGGGGTTCTTGACTTATTTCCATTTGGGACCTTGACTTATTTCCAATGGGGTTCTTGACTTGTTTCCATTGGGACCCTTGACTTATTTCCATTGGGTTCTTGACTTATTTTCATTGGGGTTCTTGACTTAATATCCATTGGGGTTCTTCACTTATTTCCACTGGGGTTTTTGACTTATTTCCAGTGGTGTCCTTATTTCCATTGGTTTCCTTATTTCCACTTTGGCCCTTACTTATTTCCACTGGGGTCCTTACTTATTTCCACTGGGGTCCTTACTTATTTCCACTGGGGTCCTTAGTTCCACTGGGGTCCTTACTTATTTCCACCGGGGTCCTTACTTATTTCCACTGGGGTCCTTACTTAGTTCCACTGGGGTCCTTACTTATTTCCACTGGGGTCCTTACTTATTTCTCTCGGGTCCTTGAGTTCATCAATAAGGTGTACTCTGTGGAGACCCTTAACACCACCAGCATCACCACCAGCTTGGTACTCTGGGGTTGTAGTGAGACATCATACACTGAAATACATACAACAAGCTTCACATACAGGGAAGAAAGAGTTAAAGTATATATATAGTGAAGGACAGCAGTACATAATGGGCAAGTTAAAAGTGGCAATGTTACGTTATCTAGCTAGTGAGGACTTCCGTGTGCTGACAGCAGTGAGTCCACTTATTCTTTACGTTTAGTATTTATTTACATTATATTAATGATTGTTTTCATTTTATTGGTTGTTTATTTAATCAGAGTCTAGTTCTTAAGTAGTATTGAAGAACTAGGATTAATCTGCCTGAAATGTACTTCATGTTAGTGGCTCTAGTGTGACTAATAATATTTTATTAAATATAAACTATATTAATTGTATACCGCATAAAATAATGTATTTGTGTTATCTCTGTTTACATTGTTAAATTTTGTTTCCATTCTGTTGATGGAAATAAGTTACTTTGACTTTTTTGGGTTATCCTGGGTTCTGGACACAATTGTATTTGTGTATACCTGAATAAACTTACTTATTTACCTGGTGTATACCTGGAGAGGGTTTCAGGGGTCAGCACCCCCTGCGGTCCAGTCTGTGACCAGGCTTCGTGATGGATCAGGGTCTGATCAACCAGGCTGTTACTGCTGGCATATGAACCACAGTCCGGCTGGTCAGGTACTGACTTTAGATGGTTGTCCAGCGCCTTCTCGAAGACAGTCAGGGGTCTATTGGTAATCCCCCTTATGAATGCTGGGAGGCAGTTGAACAGACTTGGGCCCCTGACACATACTGTGTTGTGTCTGTGTACTCGTGGTGCCTCTGCTTTTCGAGAATGTTGCATCTCCTGCTGAGTCTTTTGCTTTCGTAGGGAGGGATTTTCGTGTGCAAATTTGGGACTAATCCTTCTAGAATTTTTAAAGTGTATATTATAATGTATCTTTGTCGCCTGCGTTCCGAGGAGTACAGGTCGACGGCCTTCAACCATGCCCAGTAATTTAGGTGCTTTATTAAACCCATTCACCAAAGCTGCTTTATTGTACCAATTCATCAAAGGTGCTTTATCGTACCTATTCATCAAAGGTATTTTATTGTACCATGGCCTGGTGGCTAAAGCTCTCGCTTCACATGGTGAGGGTGTGGGTTCAATTCCCAGCGAGGGTAGAAACATTGGGCGTGCTTCTTTACACCAGTTGCCAGTGTTCACCCATCAGTAAAATGGGAACCTGGGAGTTAGTCGACTGGTGGGGGTTGCATCCTGGGACAAAACTGACCTAATTTGCCCGAAATCCTCTGCTTAACAAGCGGCTTTCTATATGTACTATATGTATGTCATTGATTTCAGCTAGGCCTGTATACCTTGTACATGTACTTGTAGAAATAAAGATGTTATTATATTATTATTATTATTCATCAAAGATGAATAGAATGTAAACAAAGATTAATGTAAATACAATGGACCCCTGACTTACAATATTAATTCGTTTCAGAAGGCTGTTCAGGTGCCGTTACCAAGCGAATTTGCTCCCATAAGGAATATTGTAAATCAGATTAGCCCATTTCAGACCCCCAAAAATACACTTACACAAGCACTTACAAAAATACGCTTACATAATTGTTCGAGTTGGGAGCTGATCGTAAGTCGGGGGTCCACTGTAGAGAACTTTCACAGCATGTATAACATGCCATGAAAGTTCTCTGTTTATGTTATATTAATCTTTGTTTACATTATTCTTGTACATTCTGTTCATCTTTGTTTACATAATATTCTTTGTTAACATTATGTTCATTTTTCTTTTTTTACACTAGCTGTGACTAGCTAGGGGAGTCAGTACCAATCATTCATTAGTCCTGACTTGCTGCACATTCTACAATAAATGTATTATATTTTATTAATATCTCCCAAAATAAATTTATGCAAGAGATAACAATTTGCACCAGGATATAGATACAGTAGCATGATTGCATTTTATAAAACAAAATAATATTGCTTGCTTTCCTAAGACTGTTAATAGACAACAAAATGTTTCTGTATCTTGGAAAAATTTAGGCAAAATTTTTTTTTATCATATTTCAGATTGAAATGGGAATGAAAAACCACGAACTTGTTCCTGGTCCGCTTGTAGCTCAGATAGCCAATGTACGATCAGGTGGAGTTCATAAAATACTACAAGAGCTCTGTAAGCATCGACTATGTTCATATGAACGTGGAAAGCACTGTAAGTCAACTTTCAGTAGCTGTTAAAAAATGGCATTTTTTTTTCTTTGGTTAATACACATTATTTGCTTTCAAAAAAGTTTTTATATGTTCGTAATAAGTTATCAAAGTACTTATGCTGTCAGATCTCTTGTACAAGATATAAATGCAGTGTCAGCATTATTGTATCTTAAGATTGCATTGATTTTTGGCTGCATATAAGTACTATGGCACATATGTGCCAAGATGATCTCCTGATACAAGTTAATACATGCGGCACTTCATTTGAATGTGATGTGATTTGTGTATTAATGTTGGTAGAATTACCGACAATGTGTAAAGTAAAAGGACACAAGTGCAACTAAAGTGACATTTTATTGTGGCAACGTTTCACTCTCCATGAGCTTTTTCAATGCGTAACAGCTTGATAAAGCTCCTGGAGAGCGAAACGTTGCCACAATAAAAGTTCACATTAATTGCACTGATGTGATTTATGTTTGGTACTGTTTTATATTGCAATCAGTCACCCTACAGCAGTTTACATATACAGTGGACCCCCGGTTAATGATATTTTTTCACTCCAGAAGTATGTTCAGGTGCCAGTACTGACCGAATTTGTTCCCATAAGAAATATTGTGAAGTAGATTAGTCCATTTCAGACCCCCAAACATACACGTACAAATGCACTTACATAAATACACTTACATAATTGGTCGCATTCGGAGGTAATCGTTATGCGGGGGTCCACTATATGTACATTATGTATATGGCCACCAGTCTGAGTTAGCATTCTTTGTAAAACTAAAGTAGTTTAATGATTTTTTAATTAAGACTTGGCACACACATTAAACCATTGTGCACCATATTTATTTATGTACTGTATTCTAGATGATGGGTACCGGCTGACCAACATGGGTTATGACTACCTGGCACTTAAGGTTCTTTCTTCCCGTGATATTATTGGTGCTGTTGGAAGTCAAATTGGCGTGGGCAAGGAATCAGACATTTATGTGGTGACAGACACTCTAGGAAATCCATTATGTATGAAACTTCATAGGTAAATTATTATATTTGTTATGTACTCATGTCAAATTCACTTTTAATATTGTGTCATTAATGAACTGCTCAGCCTATGCTGTATAGTACTGTACAGTACATATATGTAGTATTGTCCTAGAAAGTACCTACAGATGATTCAAAGAACTATATTCTTATCCTGACTTCAGACCAGCTTTCCTGGTGGCAGTAGTGTGAATATGTTGTGTGCATTAGTTAATTCACAGGAATTTTTCTAAAATTTAACACATCTTGATGTACTGGGTTGCAGACTTGGCCGGACATCTTTTAGGAAGCTAAGAGAGAAGCGAGATTATCATCAGAACAGAAACCGGATGTCTTGGTTGTATTTGTCCAGATTATCAGCCACAAAGGAATTTGCTTACATGAAAGCCCTTCATGAGAGGGGCTTTCCTGTACCTCGGCCAGTTGACTGCTCTAGACACTGTGTCATAATGGAACTTGTTAATGGTCATCCTTTGTAAGTTTTCCATTAAATAAATATGCATGCAGTATAGTGACAGTGTTAGGTCACCACATTTAAACACAAGTCATCCAATGATTTTTAAATATTTTTTGAATCTTTCCCTTTGTTTATTGTTACATATTTACTAGACTTTATTATTATTATTATAATCAAAACCAAGCGCTAAACCCACTGGGGTCAGACAGCGCTGTTACTGGATTTAAAATGTAAATATTATTCCCTGTCTTACAATACTGACATAAGACTTTACTGTTATTTTCAAACTTGCTAAGATGTGTACAGGAATACCTTGTCATTTGTAAATAATTTATAAAATCTAGTTTATGTGTACCATAACCCTTTCAGAATTATTTAATTAGCCAGTCTCATTGTTTCTTTCCCCACAAGACACTGGAAGGGACAAAATCTGCTAGGTGACTGAAAAATGGCTTAGAACACTTGTTGCATCTAATCCTTAGAAACTAATATTGTCAGTGCCTGATGAAGGGCTCTTGATCCAAGGAATTAAAGCTAGCTTCCCCTTCCTTGAATCAACCTTTATTGCCTCCCTTTCGCCAGGTGTTGCATGACTCATACACATTTAGGGCTATGCCAAGAATGTATATATATACAGTACAGGTATACCTCACTTCAAGGTACTTTGCTTTAGAGCACTTCACTAATATGGAACTTTTCAGTTATATTAATTTTTATTATTTTTGGCACTTGTCTTGCTCTTAAGATGGTTTTCAGCAGTGATGCATTTTTTATTTATTTTTACTTTTGCATCTTTTTTTAGGCCTAGTGCTATTGCACACTTAATAAATGAGAGTGTAAACAAGTTTCTAGGCTTTTATATGCACTGGTACATGAAAAAAAGGCTGTGATTCGCTTTAAGGCGATATTCACTTTATGGTTTGGAATCTAGCCCATTATATTAGTGAGGTATTCCTGCATGTATATATATATATATATATATATATTTTTTTCAACAGGTCGGCCGTCTCCCACCGAGGCAGGGTGACCCAAAAAAGAAAGAAAATCCCCAAAAAGAAAATACTTTCATCATCATTCAACACTTTCACCCCACTCACACATTATCACTGCTTTTGCAGAGGTGCTCAGAATACAACAGCTTAGAAACATATACGTATAAAGATACACAACATATCCCTCCAAACTGCCAATATCCCAAACCACTCCTTTAAAGTGCAGGCATTGTACTTCCCATTTCCAGGACTCAAGTCCGACTATATAAAAATAACTGGTTTCCCTGAATCCCTTCACTAAATATTACCTTGCTCGCACTCCAACAGCTCGTCAGGTCCCAAATACCATTCGTCTCCATTCACTCGTGTCTAACACGCTCACGCATGCTTGCTGTAAGCCCAAGCCCCTCACCCACAAAACTTCCTTTACCCCCTCCTTCCAACCTTTTCGAGGACGACCCCTACCCCGCCTTCCTTTCTCTACAGATTTATACACTCTCCATGTCATTCTACTTTGATCCATTCTCTCTAAATGACCAAACCACCTGAACAACCCCTCTTCTGCACTCTGATTAATACTTTTATTAACTCTACACCTCCTAATTTCCACACTCCAAATTTTCTGCATAATATTTACACCACACATTGCCCTTAGACTGGACATCTCCACTGCCTCCAACCACCTCCTCACTGCAGCATTTACAACCCAAGCTTCACACCCATATAAAAGTGTTGGTACTACTATACTTTCATACATTCCCTTCTTTGCCTCCATAGATAACGTTTTTTGTCTCCACATATACCTCAATGCACCACTCGCCTTTTTTCCTTCATTAATTCTATGATTAACTTCTTCCTTCATAAATCCATCCGCTGACACGTCAACTCCCAAATATCTGAAAACATTCACATCTTCCATACTACTCCCTAATTTGATATCCAATTTTTCTTTATCTAAATCATTTGATACCCTCATCACCTTACTCTTTTCTATGTTCACTTTCAACTTTTTACCTTTACAAAATAGGATGAATTGGAGGGTGTATAAATCTGTAGTGAAGGAAAGGCAGAGTAAGGGTCTCCCTAAGAAGATGTGAGGGTGGGGGCCAAGGATGTTTTGTGTGTGAGGGACTTAGACATCCAGCAGGTGTGTGTGAGCATGTTAGGAGTGAGTGGAGGCAAATGGTTCTTGGAACTAAATAAACTTTTGGAGTGTGAATAAGCTAACATTTATGAAGGGAATCAGGGAAACTAAGTCTTGGAGATGGGAAGTACAGTGCCTCTACCATGAAGGAAGGGTGAGTATGTTTCAATTTGGGGGACCATCTAAGCTGCAATGTCAACATACTTCTGGCAAGACAATGAGTAAATGATTGATAATGAAAGTGTTTCCTCTTTTTTGGGTCACCCTGCCTTGATGAGAGGCAGTCTGTGTATTAAAAATAGTATGCTTTCTTCAGATGTTTCATCAGTTTTTCCATCCAGCAAGATTCGCTTTGCAAAATTGGTGGCACGCACATACACTGATGTACTGCATCATGTTGATAGTTCTTCTAGACTGAGAATATAGTACTTGCAAGATATTTAGATTATATTTGATAAATGGTATAGTGTGCTGTATATGCTGTCTTGTGAGATAGACACTACAATGAAACTTTTATTATGATGTTTCTGTCACGACTGCACTTTCTCACTGTCTGTTGGCTTATGCCATCATTCAGCCATATATTATCTTCTCAGGTGCAACATTCATGAAGTTAAAGATGTCCCTGAGCTGTTCAGTGACCTAATGAACTTGATTATCAAGTTAGCTAATCATGGAGTTATACATAGTGACTTCAATGAATTTAACTTGATGCTTGATGATTATGATCAGCCAGTGGTCATTGACTTTCCTCAGATGGTTTCAACAGCACACAAGAATGCCAAAATGTGAGTAAATGATTGGCATTATAATTGTATATTTGAAGTACAGGATTTAGTGTTATTTTTCTAATTATATTTTTATGGTATAATAATCTGGCAGTGGTCACAGTTTCATATAATACACTCAAAAACTGTTTTACTCTTGTTTTTTATTCAAATTCTTTATGTACTCCTACAGGTATTTTGACAGAGATGTCAGGTGTGTGCAAGAATTTTTCAAGCGGAGGTTTGGATATGAGAGTGAACTCTGTCCAGATTTTGAGAGAGATGTTGAGTAAGTCTAACATTTGACAGTTTTACTCATTTCAAGCCCTTTACATAATTATACAGTATATTAGAAATAAAATACCCACATTTAATATGAAAGAGTTAAAGAAGAGCAGTGTGATTGATTTAATGAGAAAATTTAGGATTTAGATGAAGGTACAGGCATACCTAACTTTAAGGTGCATTATTTTAGATTGTTTTGCTAATATAGCACTTTTCAGTTATGTATTATGTTTATTATTATTGGCTTGGACTTCCAGCAGGCGTGCATGAGCGTGTTCAATAGGAGTGAATGGAGACGAATGGTATTTGGAACCTGACGATCTGTTGGAGTGTGAGCAGGGTAATATTTAGTGAAGGGATTCAGGGAAACCGGTTATTTTTGTATAGCCAGACTTGAGTCCTGGAAATGGGAAGTACAATGCCTGCACTCTAAAGGTGGGGTTCGGGATATTAGCAGTTTGGAGGGATATGTTGTGTATCTTTATACATATATGCTTCTAAGCTGTTGTGTTCTGAGCACCTCTGCAAAAACAGTGATTGAGGCGAAAGTGTTGAATGATGATGAAAGTATTTTCTTTTTGGGGATTTTCTTTCTTTTTGGGTAACCCTGCCTCGGTGGGAGACAGCCGACTTGTTAAAAAAAAAATAAAAAAAAATAAATATTACATGGAAAATAGTTGTGAGCTGTGCATAAAAGCAATCTTTTGTCATGCTCTTGCTTTACTCCATGCTTCTGGTCTTTCTCTTCTACTTGCCCTCCCTTGTCTTATAAAACAGTTGCCTTCTAATGTGTCATACATCTTTGTGCAGCCTTGCTTCCTTTTTCTTTGCAACTTGACTATATGCACTATTCAGTTTATTGATCATATATTTTGCTTTTGTATGTGCCTCTTTTTTTTTTTTTTTTTTTTTTTTCGTAAATTTTTCCCTTCTTTTTTTCCCCAACTTTTCATAACCTCTCATATTGTATGGAGGTTTTGCCTGATAAAATGCTTTTGGGGTGGAATTAAAGACACTATGCTGGGTTTTATTGTGTATACAGTATTGTATACGAGCACCATGAGGTCAGGCTTGAAGGAAAAACAGGTCCCATACAAGGTCATTCAATTGTAAGAGCACATGTGGTTAAAGTCAGGTACTGGTGAGAGCAGGGTGTGAGGATACAGTGGCAAGCTTATTTATTTATTTTTTTGGTTTTTTTTTTTTTAACAAGTCGACTGTCTCCCACCAAGTTTATTATGTTTATTATATGAATCATGGACACTGGGGGCAATAGGTCTTGCCTATATGTAAATTCCACTGTTTTGCTCATTGTATTGGTGAGGTGGATCACTGCTGCTCTCTAACTTCTGTGCCAGGGCTATTATTCTCATGGTGTAATGGTTGTGCTCTTCACCAGTCCATGATGTGAGAATGAGAGGTTTTATCCCTCTTGCAGGCATATTTATGTTCCTGAAGGCATGTCTGTCTCCCCAATAATAGAATTCTTCGCATAACCATACAGTATGCTGCATACATATTGTGATGATCATAACAAAACGATTAGGTAATGGAAGATTGGATATCAGATTGGAGGGAGAGAGTATGGAGGAGGAGGTGAATGTGTTCAGATATTTGGGAGTGGACGTGTCAGAAGATGGGTCTATGAAGGATGAGGTGAATCATAGATTTGACGAGGAAAAAAAGGTGAGTGGTGCACTGAGAGGTCTGTAGAGACAAAGAACTTTATCCATGAAAGCAAAGAGGGGAATGTATGAGAGTATAGTTATACTAATGCTCTTGTATGGGTGTGAAGCATGGGTTGTGAATGTTGCAACAAGGAGAAGGCTGGAGGCAGTGGAGATGTCATGCCTTAGGGCAATGTGTGGTGTGAATGTAATGCAAAGAATCTGTAGTTTGGAGATTAGGAGGAGGTGTGGGATTGCCAAAACTATTATCCAGAGGGCTGAGGAGGGGTTATTGAGATGGTTTGGACATGTAGAGGGAATGGAGTGAAATAGAATGACTTAGAAGTATACAAATCTGTAGTGGAGGGAAGGCGGGGTAAGAGTCGGTCTAGGAAAGGTTGGAGGGAGGGGGTAAAGGAGGTTTTGTGTGCGAGGGGCAAGTGTGCGTGTGTTAGACAGGAGCGAATGGAGACAAATGGTTTTTAGGACTTGACATGCTGTTGGAGTGTAAGCAAGGTAACATATATGAAGGGATTCAGGGAAACCGGCAGGCCGGGCTTGAGTCCTGGAGATGGGAAGTACAGTGCCAGCACTCTGAAGGAGGGGTGTTAATGTTGCAGTTTTATAACTGTAGTGTAGGCATGCCTCTGGCAAGACAATGATGGAGTGAATGATGAAAGTTTTTCATTTTCAGGCCACCCTGCCTTGGTGGGAAATGGCCGATGTGTTAATAAAAAAAAATTTCTGTGCAAATAGTTCTGGGTTTAAGGCTTCTTGTGATATCTCTGAAAGTTTTGTAGGTAAGGGCTGCTGCACCCATGTTGGCTTTTCAGTGAATCAAGGTGATAGGAATCTGTGATTGCAGTCTGCCCAGTGGGGAGGATTGGCTGTCTATCATTGTTTCATATTCTCTATAGGTGTGCTGTGAATGAGGAAGGCTTTCTGTTTGGAGAAATGGAAAATGTGTGTTGGGAACTTTAAGTTGATGAATTCCCCATCATTGTAAGGTATTTGAATATCTTACATATAGTTAACTGATTACATGTTGATTCAGTTATCTGCATTGTTCATTTTGAGGGTTATAGTTTGATGCTTGAAAATATTCATAGTACTCTAGGAAATGGGGAATTGAATTTATAGCAGCACTATATATTTTTTTTTTTTAATAAGTCGGCCATCTCCCACCAAGGCAGGGTGACCCAAACAGAAAGAAAATCCCCAAAAAGAAAATACTTTCATCATCATTCAACACTTTCACCTCACTCATATTCATTGTTTTTGCAGAGGTGCTCAGAATACAACAGCTTAGAAGCTTTCTTTCTTCTTTCAACACACCGGTTGTATCCCACCGAGGCGGGGTGGCCCAAAAGGAAGAAAAGAGTTTCTCCTTTTACATTTAGCAATATATACAGGAGAAGGGGTTACTAGCCTCTTGCTCCCGGCATTTTAGTCACCTCTTAAAACACGCATGGCTTACGGAGGAAGAATTTTGTTCCACTTCCATATGGAGATAAAAGGAAATAAACAAGAACAAGAACTAGAGAGAAAATAGAAGAAAACCCAGAGGGGTGTGTATATATATGCTTGTACATGTATGTGTAGTGTGGTCCAAGTGTAAGTAGAAGTAGCAAGACGTACCTGTAATTTTGCATATTTACGAGAGAGACAAAAGACACCAGCAATCCTACCATCATGTAAAATAATTACAGGCTTTCGTTTTACACTCACTTGGCAGGATGGTAGTACCTCCCTTGGTGGTTGCTGTCTACCAACCTACTACTTAATTGTTTAATGCCTACTCTTTGATCTCTTTCCATTACTATAATAAAGTATTGTTTTATGTTTGCCTTGAATATTGTATGCATTATGCCTGTGTATTGATTAATTTTGGTGCATTTACTAATTTTATTTGTATCCAACAGGAGGGAGTACAATCTTGATAAAGAAGTTGCTGCCAGTGGGTATCAGAGAGAGATTCAGGAATTTAACGAAGAGCTCAAGGTAGGACAGGATGTACAAGAAGGTGAAGAGAGCGATAGTAGTACACCTAGTGAAGATGATGATGACGAGGAAGAGGAAACTGAGGATGCTGAAGAAGATATTGCTGAAATGAAACTCCAGACTGAAGCTTTGTGTAAAGATCTGAAAGAAGAAACCAGCATTCAAAATCTTTGTGAAGATTTACAAGACCAAGCCTTAGACATAGTTACTGAAGATAACAAAGAGGTGGCTGATAAAGTTCTTGGCAAAAAAAATGAAGGGGAAAATTTGAGAGAAAATAAGACTAATAATTGTCGGAAAGAGAAAGGCAAGCATCTGAATCACGAAGCAAGATTGGCTCTCATAAAACAGCTTGCTAAGGCCCGTGAACTAAGGCAAAAAGCTGAGGAAAATGGTGAGGAACCACCATTGTTGGAGGACGTCATTGATGATTCATTTAGTGATTTATGTAGCATCAGAAGTTTTTCTACAGTTGCAAGCTCTATATCTCCCCAAGATGTTAAGCATCGTACACAGAAAGATCTTATAAGGAGAGAGAAAAAGCAAGTATCTAAGAAAAACTTGAGGGTAAAAGGAGAAGCCAATGCATTTAGGCGAATCAAAAAACAAAATGAAGCTGTAATTAAAGAATCATCTGGTTGGGATGATTATTGAGATTTCATTAAAAATAAAATTCTCAAATTTGTGAATACGTATTTATTTTGATATATGCATCCCTATTTGTAATATGAACAAGATGCATTTATAAACAAGAATGTTGGTAAAGCAGTATCAGCAATTTTCAGCATCACTGACTTCGAAATTCACTTAATCTTCTCCTCTGTGTACATTAGGTTAAGCTTAGATTAATGTAATTAAACAACCCAATCCTTAAAGATTAAATTAGGTAAAATAAAAATTTTTGGATCGAGCTGTTTCTCAGTACAGTGCAGTGCTGTATAACCCTTTTAGGTTTAGCACTTGACTTAATTATTATAATATAACTGAGGAAACTGATGGTGAACTTTGAGAAATTAATATCGTCTAAATTGATAAACGACAATTTTTTGCATGCACATAAATTTTTTTTAATGCCACTGATGAGCTCTTAATCCAAAGAATTGAATCTACCCTTCCTTTCCTTTGATCAAACTTGAATGCATCCCATTTCCCAGGTGCTATATGAGCCCTGTGGGTTTAGTGCTCCCCTATGAATGTAATACAATACAGGTAGAATTTTAGTGTATGTACTGATCTTGCTGTCAAGCAGCAGGGGATCAATCCCATCATGTCATGCTGATAGTTACAAGTGTACTTGTTGCTAGCTCTATATCTTATCTAAACCTGTGAGCTCAGAGTGACTTGTGCAGTACAAGTGTTCCATAAATGTCAAATACTACTACAGTACTACTATGCCTAAGGAAGGTTCCTTGATGCCAGTGAGTGGCTCTTGATCTAAGGTATTGGACCAATGCTCTTTGGATTAAACCTGAATGCCTATTTCCCCGGGTGCTATGTGACCAATATGGGTTTAGCACTTCCCTCATGAACATAATATTAAAATCACAACAGATATTATAGCCAGCGAATAAAACCCCCCTAAATTCCACCAATACAATGACATTTGTCTTTGCAAACATACAGGGTCTAAAGCCATCAAAAAATTTCAAAATTCTTTACATCAAAGGACTGGTCACAGAGTCAAATGCAATGTTTGCAGCTTTCACAGAGACCCACGTAAAGGATCATTATGACAATGAAGTGTGGATCCCAGATTATAACCTCTTCCGATGTGACAGACTAAACAGGCAACAAGGGGAGGTTGGTCTGTACGTTACAGAATCACTTATTTGCACAGAACTACTGAACACCTCAAATGATGTAGTTGAAGTTTTGGCGTTAAAGATTGAAAACCAAAACCTTGTCATTGTGGTGGTATACAAGCCTCCAGATGCAACTTCCCAGCAATTCCAGGAGCAGCTTGTGAAAATTGACCACTGTCTAGAAAATTTCCCAACTCCTGCCCCAAATATCTTACTACTAGGAGATTTCAACTTGGGACACCTAAAATGAAGGGGTATAGCAAACAATGTTTTAGCAGAGATCACCCCAGGAGGCAGCTCAGATGAAAATTCACATACATGAACTATTATATCTCTGCACCAAATTCACCTTAAACCAGCAAATAGTAGAGCCTACAAGACTAGAAAATACGCTGGATCTCCTCTTCACTAACAATGACGATCTGATACGTAATATAACTATCAAAGACAATACGCTCAGATCACAACATAACAGAGGTACAGACATGTATGCACAGGGCTTCTGATCAGCAAGATGTGAGCAGTCATGAAGGTCTCTTCACAAAATTCAATTTCAATAACAAAAACATACAATGGGATCAAGTAAACCATATCCTAAATGAAACAAGCTGGGAAGATATCCTAAACAACACGGATGCCAACATTTGCCTTGAAAAAATGAATTCTGTGGTTCTTGAGATCTGGTCAAGACACATTCCATTAAGAAAAAGAAAGAGAAGATGTAAACTAGAAAGAGATGCTCCCTATACAGATGAAGGCAAAGAGTCACAGAGCTGCTGAGTGGGACCAATATATCAGAAATGTGAAGGGAGGCACTAGTCAATGAAACTATAAATATCGAACTTAGGCTGAAGAAATCTAACAGGAGACAGAATCACAGGAAGAACTAAAAGCCATAAAGAAAACTGAAAAAAAACAAAATACTTCTTCTCTTATGTCAAATCTAAGGGAAAAACAACATCCAGTATTGGGCCCTTGCTTAGGCGGGATGGGACATACACAGATGACAGCCAAGAAATGAGTAAGATACTAAAGTCCCAATATGACTGTGTTCAGCGATCCACTGCCCAGACTAAGGGTCGACAACCCAAATGAATTCTTTGTGAATGAAGCCCAAAACTTGGACATCCCAAAAATCTTGGATATTATCCTAACTCCACAAGACTTTGAAGAGGCAATAAATGACATAATCATGCACCCTGTCCCAGGCCCAGACTCATGGAACTCCGTGTTCATCGAGAACTGCAAGAAGCCCCTATCGTGTGCCTTCAGCATTTTATGGAGAGGGAACATGGACATAGGGGTCATCCCACACACACTAAAAACAACAGACGTAGCCCCACTCCACATAGGTGGCAGTAAAGCAATTGCAAAGAACTACAGACGAATAGCACTACATCCCATATCATAAAAATCTTTGAGAGGGTTCTAAGAAGCAAGATAGCCAACCACCTAGATAGCCATCAATTACACAACCCGGGGCAACACGGGTTTAGAGCAGGTCGCTCCTGCCTGTCCCAGCTACTGGACCACTATGACAAGGTCCTGGATGCTGTAGAGGATAAACAAAACACAGATGTAATATACACAGACTTTGCAAAAGCTTTCGACAAGTGTGACCATGGTGTAATAGCACACAAAATGCGTGATAAAGGAATAACAGGAAAAGTTGGTAGATGGATCTATAACTTCCTGACAAATAGAACACAAAGAGTAATAGTAAACAGAGTTAAGTCCTAGGCAGCCATGGTAAAAAACTCTATTCCACAAGGCATAGTACTTGCTCCCATTCTATTCCTCATCCTCATTTCTGACATAGACAGAGATGTAAGTCATAGCTCCGTGTCTTCCTTTGTGGATGACACCTGGATTACCATGGCAGTGACCTCCATTGAAGACACCGCGAGACTCCAAGCGGACATCAACCAAATCTTCAAATGGGCCACTCAAAACAATATGAAGCTCAACAAGGAGAAATTTCAACTACTCAGAGATGAGAAACTTTAGGAAATTAAAAATGTGTCAGTATACGACAAATTTTAACCATACAATAGAGCGGAAAAGTAATGTGAAGGACCTGGGAGTGATAATGTCAGAGGACTTCGTCTTCAAAGACCATAACAATGTATCTACCTCATCTGCTAGGAAAATGGTAGGATGGATAATGAGAACCTTCAAAACTAGGGATGCCAAGCCCATGATGATTCTCTTCAAATCGCTTGTGCTCTCTAGGCTGGAATACTGCTGTACACTAATGGCCCCCTTCAAGGCTGGTGACACTGCAGACCTGGAGAGTGTACAAAGAACTTTCATGGCATATATAAGCACGATAAAGCACCTAAATTACTGGGAATAGTTGAAGGCCCTTGATCTGTATTCCCTGAAATGCAGGCGAGAGAGATACATGATAATATACACTTGGAAGGTCCTGGAGGGATTGGTGCTAAACCTGCACACGAAAATTACTCACTATGAAAGCAAAAGACTTGGCAGGAGATGCAACATTTCCCCAATGAAAAGCAGGGGTGCAACAAGTGCATTGAGAGACAACACAATAAGTGTCCAGGGTCCAAAACTGTTCAACTGCCTCCCAGCCTACATAAGGGGTATTGCCAATAGACCCCTGGCTGTCTTTAAGAAGGCATTGGACAGGCACCTAAAGTCAGTACCTGACCAACCGGGCTGTGGTTCGTACATCAGCTTGTGTGTGGCCAGTAGTAACAGCCTGGTTCATCAGACCCTGATCCACCATGAGGCCTGGTCTCAGGCCGAGCCGCGGGGGCCGTTGACCCCCGAAACCCTTTCCAGGTAAACTCCAGGTAAGCGCTAAACCCACAAGGGTCATACAGCCATGGATGTAATTATAATTAGAATAATAATAATAATTAATCTAAATAAAATCATACTTCTTCATATCCTTCTATTAGCAGTTGACTAGATGCTGGTAAAAAGCACTTAATAAAAGAGTTGGAGCTACCCCTTCCTTGGATCAAACCTCACATTCCCCAAATTCTGCATGACTCCTATGGGTTCAGTGTTCCTATGAATACATGATTCTTAACAAGAAATGACATGGAAAAGTGGAAGAAATTAGCAGGCTTGTCCTCCCTTGACCCCTCAAGGGAGGATCCTTGACGCTGAGGGGCTTTTGATCCAGGGAATTGAATCTGTACTCCGGTTCCCTGAACTGAGCTTGAACACCTTCCATCCCCCCCCCACATGCACTGCATAATCCTACAGGTTTAGCACTCCCCCATAATTATAATAACTTACTTATAATGGTCCTCCCATGACTTGGCTAGTTAATATTGTTTGAGTGGAATTAACCTACCACAATGACCTATCAGAAGCCATTGGCAAATATGCAGGAACTACTAAAGACCAGTATTTCATATAAGTTTACTGACTAACACTGATGTGAGTTTGACAAAACTCTCCCATGACATGTTTAACCTGTGTCACCACCCCACTGTTCTCTGCAACCCATACAAGTTTAGTACACTCTTGTGAATATGATACTGTAATAATAATATGAGTATTAAAAAAAGTTTTTAACAAGATAAATTTCAGTATACCATATTTCAGCCTCCATCACAATGCCTGTAGACTACATTGTACAGGAAAGCCCCACTTATACAGCAGGTTAGGTCCTGGGTTACTACTGTAAAACAAAAATCGCTGTAAAGTGAAACAGCTTTTTTTTCACTTCCATATGCATTAAAAAGTCTGATAACATATTTACACTATCATATATTAAGTGAGCAATAGAGGTAGGCCTAAAGAATTCATATATAGTACACACATTACTTACCTTCAAATATGTTTATTAAATTATAGTGAGTGGTGTATTTATTGCAGTAAGTCTGAATCAGTAAAGAATGGGTATA